CGTATGTGAACAGACGAGGATGGACGTCAACTCGGTGCAATGCATGATGTCTCGGTGACACCCAGTTGCCTGGCTATCGAGAGTGCAAGCGGTGCAGTTGCACCGGGGGGCACGTGCCGACGACAGAGAGCTTCCCAATTGGGCAGTGACACGGCCCAGCTTTGACCTGTTGTTGCAGAGGTTTTGCGGTTCGATCCGGGAAGGGCCACCCTGGTTATTACCGCGGGTTTATTGACCGTATAAATGCGTGCTCTCTGCTCCACAGTGGACGTTAAAGATCCCGTGACGTCGTTCGAACAGAGAGTAGGCCGTTGTGTGTGCCAGAGTCGTGGCCCAAAGTTCCAAAATTCGAATTAAATTACACTTGTTGGGATTACATGCAGCAATCACCTTGGCCTCCTACGGGCAGACTAATGGCCCACTTAACGTTGTTCCACACAGGGACAAGCGGTAATTAAGGGGTCCCCTAGGCGAAAAGAAACCAAACTGCTCTGTGACGTTTTGTTACGTAGTGGGCGCAAAATGAATTGCAAGTATCGTCATATTATTTACGCTGCATCACTGGCGACACCGTGCCTTCTGTGCGGCTTCATTTACCTCTGCCGCCTTTGGTGTTAATATGCATCTCCTAATCTCTGTCGAAGATTGACTGTCACTAGTGTAATTGGTTTCTGGTGTTTACACTGAGCAATCTGTCTGCCGTCCGCCAATACAGCCACACAACGGCATTGTTAACGCTCATAATACAGGTTTTTTGGGGGGTTTGATCACGTAAATATATAAATGTGTCGTTCAACCCGCCACCGCCTGACACAGCCAACTAGTAAGGTTTGTCACGTAAACAGAGCATGCCAGTTGGTTACTAGTACAGCACACCGGTGTGTTGGATAGCAGAGCCACGACATTTACAATGTGAGTACAACGTTACTGGTGAAACGTCGTACTCAGATTGTAAATGTTATGGTTTTGATCTCCAACACACCGGTGTGCTTGTACTAGCAACAAATTGCCATGTTCTGCCGGCGATGTTCTGATGCCGTTGACGGTTACACCGCCGGTGTCTTCGAGGGGGAATAGGGGGTGCGATGTCCGGGTATCGAATGATCCGTTGCACCGATGCGACAGCAGCATGAGTCGTGAATCTGAATATGAATGGGAGCTGTCCGGATTGGGCTTCATCGTCTGTAAAGAAACATAATTACTGGGGTTGGACACCCACGTCCTTGGAAGCAGCCTTCAGCGTCCGTCAAACGAGCGCGAATTATACTCGTGCGAAATTGAAGGCTTCCAGATCCCCAGCCAGTGGCAGTTTGAGCGGTAGAACGCAGCCTGTCTGCTGGTTAAGCCGAACGGGAAAACTGTTCCATCTGGTTACATTTGTAATTTCTGTGCTAGATTCATGTGGTAACAGGTAGTCTAGTCTGTTGATGCTGCTGCTGATTATTATACTGCTGATGCTACTGATGGTAGAGTGAAGGCACCCAGGTCAAAGCAAAGTGATGTCTTCTCTGATGTCTTCTCCTCCCGGGTGTGCTCGAGAATGTTTTAAAGTTGTCTTAACCGTAACAATAATAACAACTGCAATTTTTTTTTTAGTGCAGCGATAACTAACACTTATTAGTTCAGTGTCAAGAATGTCTTGGCGTGCTTCGAGGCCTTCTGCTGGAACGTCAACGCCAGGCGACTGTGAATTACCCAGCAGCAGCAGCAGCAGGCGTCTTGTTCACGTTGGCCTCCGTCCGTGTGGGGTCCACGATTTAAATCCCACGTCCGCCTGCGAGTTTCTCTGGGGAGGGAATCTGCGTGGCCCTACAATGATCGCGGCGCTTTCCCCACCGGCCCTACGCACGGCGGTGACGTAGTGTCGCGTGTGACAAGCCAGAGCCGAATCTTGACTTAAAGCTTTCATGACTGCAGGAATTCATATTCTTAGATATTTCGGTAAAGTCACGTAGATAGGGTTCAAATGACCTATTTACGTGACTTTTAAAGAACCCATCTACGTGACTTTACCTAAAGACCTAATAAAAGGAAGCCAGAAGTACTTTGATTTTCATTCTCACGGTGGACATTTAGCCAAATTAATAACAATAATAAAAACGAATTCGTTGTGAAGTGTTTCTTTTTTTTTTGGTGACCGTAATGAGAGGCCATCGACCCGCCCGCTACGCTCGGGAAGCCGCTTTAATCGCACAGTAGGCAGCGGCTGAAACCTGGATTCGAACCCAGGCTCTCAGCGGTGCCGGCTCATCGCTCTGACCTCTGACCTCTAAGCCACCCAGCCACGTCCTGACGAAATTTGTTTTCTTGTTGTGTATATCACGGGAAAAGGACGCAAATCTTCGAAATGCAATGCGACCTGCACGCCTGACATCTGGGTTGTTAAATCGGTCCCTCTGCATACAGCTGGGTGGGCCTGCAGATGGATGGATGAATCAACACATTTTTGTTTTATTACAATATTTTACCGGGATAATCCCCTCTTGCGATGGAACATCTCGTTTGAAAGGGTGTCCGGGCTGCCGATTAGCTCTAAGGTAGCGAACGGGCAATGGCGCGTGTACACAAACATGTTAACGGTCCTTAAGTAGAGGCCATTTACTGCAAGAGCAGTCAGTGACAAACGAATATTGCTCGCCATCGCCATCTGTCCAAAGTTTCTAACGGGCCTGCAAAAGTGCGTATGCGCGCGGTGTTTTTCACGGCCCGTGCTGTCAATGCAATGCTGGACGAGGGGCTCCCCAGTGCCCGTGCGGACAGCGGTGGAGTGTTATTTGACCCTACTTCACCGCGCTGGGTCGGTGCGGGCCGGCGAGAGATCGATCGTCGTCGAGGCCCGAGTGTGTTCAGGGTCCACTTTACGACGCGGCGGTTGGAACGACGCTGCTGCGAGGTTCTTAAATCTCCCACCGCCGCTGTCCACCCAGCGGTATGAACGGCCGCAGCACGGTTAGTCGATCGGCAGGTCGCGTGCGGTGCGGTGAAGTGTGGGTCTTCTCACGTCTGGCCAGCGTGGAAGAGAAGGCCAAAAATGACCCTTCAGAAGAGGGCCTCTCTGGAGCGCCTTTGGAGCCCCTTTTTGCCAACAGTGGCGTCGGGGAGTAATTGCAGCGCTGCACCTTTTCCACATTTATTCCTATTATTATTGCCAATGAGTACGGCTTGTCCTATGGATAGACTTGCCCCTGCCATAAGAATGTCAATTACCACCACCGGCTCAGCGCTGTAAATGAGACATTCGCACCACCTCAACGCTCGTCCGAGCAAGAAATAACCTCGACTTTGACCTGTCACCTTTCCCACCTCTATTCTTGAAGTGTACGAATGTGGCTGCTTGTGCAAGGAGCGATACGAATGCATTGGGTGCAGGAGCCGAACTGAGAAATGCCACAGGACAGGTCCAATCGCTCGACAGATGTAGTGAATTAAACACAAGACAATTTGCAAATCGACAAAGATGTAACCTTTAGTAGACTGTTGGGGAAAGTGCTGTCAGCGGGCACCTATTAAGGCCAGTACAGCACGACACACGATCGAGTGAGTGGCCAGCACCACGCCTGGCCGCCTTTGTCTCCGCAGTGCTGATGTTTGCACACCGCACCAGGTACTCATTTATGGTAGAGTCGACCTAGGGGATGCCCAGGACCGGTTTACATATTCGCCACTGTTACGTATGTATGTTGAATTTCTTTTACACCGTACTTAGCCAACCTTGCTAATCGGAGGTGTGGGGGAAGGACAACAAACTAAACACAGCAAGTAGTTCTAAAGAATTTAGTTTTCAATCTCGATGATTTAAAAGTACCAGAGCTCCAGTGGCTTTCTAACATTGGAAGGAAGAGCATTCCAGACGGCCACAGAAGCGCATCTCAAAGCGCGCGGTGATTGGTCATGAGCGGGAATCGAACCCTTGTCGCCGGCTTTGCAGTGCAGGGCAGCGCTAACCGCCTGCGCCCGCAGCTCGTTAAGGGTGCGCAAGTCAGACGGTTGAACGAGCGGGGAACGTTTCCCCGACGTGGCAATAAAACGCCTCGCATCTCTCTCACCGGTCGTGGCTGTGCTGCAGCAGCAGCGTGCCATTAAAGCCAACACGAGGCCTTAATAATGCACATTACACGCGGCGCTCAATAAATACGGGGTTTAAATTTAACGCGCGTGACTCAACGCCGACATGTTCATTAACGATACGGCGGCCCCGGCACTTCCCCATTGTTGAGTGAGCCCATTTCTGTGGATGGCATACTTTTGGGCTGATGTGAAATTTGAAATATATTCGGATCACCAGAAATGTCGCATCTAGGCCCCCTGGACACATTTCTCATATGTGTGTGTGCGTGCGTGCGTATCGAGGCAGTAGCCCTCCAACAACACCGCTCACAACAGGCAGAGCACTGGGTGGATTAAACTCATTGCGGTGGTACAGTGGTCAGCAGGGTCGGTGCATCTGCCAGCTATCTTAGTCAACCCATCGTGTATTTATGTTGAACTTCTTTCTCACCGTACGTAGCCAACCGTGCTAATCGGGTCTGTCCCGTGACCACCTGCCAGCGAGCCTTCGACGCTTCACGTGACCTCCAAGTGCACCTAGCCTGCACGAGCGGTGTGGTCACGCCACTTAGTGGCGAATGGCAGCTGTTGTTGCCGATGCCTCGCTCTGACTTGACCTTTTGGTGTTATTCTCTGGTCGTCTAACACTGATGCAGAGGCAAGGCCATGAAGAAGGCTTGCCTCTGGTGTAGGCCAATCAGATTCAAAGACAATACTTAAATTATAATCGGAGCGTGTTTGTTCGCTTGTTTTGCCACAAGTACCGTGTGGTTAATGCGGACTTGATGCCTTTAAATGTTAGGGATCTGTTTGGTGTTCGCACATCTTAAGCACCTGCCGTTTTATTGGCAGAAAGGGTGAAGCCTACTGGTATCTTTGATACTGGCAAGAAAAGAGATGCCGAGTTGTTTTCCACGTCCCGTCCGGCGCTCTCTCTCTCTCTCTCGCCTCAGCGTCGCGCGCCAAGCTCGGGATGCTGAACACCATGTCCAAGATCCGCGGCCAGGTCAAGTCCACGGGATACCCGCAGCCGGAGGGCACGCTCGGGGAGTGCATGGTGAAGTACGGCCAGGACCTGGGCGAGGAGTCCAACTTTGGTAGGGACCCTGCCGTCGCGCGCCGCCGCACGTCCCCGTCGCGAGCCGGGGCGATCTCTCGTCTTCCCCAGCTGCAATGGCGGCGTGGCCGCGTGTATCTCTATCACTGCCGCGTAGGTTTGGCCTGTCGAGCCCTCACATGGCGGCAACGCCGCTCGCACGGCAACGCCGCTCGCACGGCAACGCCGCTCGCACGGCAGCATCGCAATGTCATTTGTACACCAACGTCACTTACGCGGCAATCTCAATATGCGGTTCCTAAAGAAGCTGCCACCTTATGGACCAAAGTGCGAGACGACCGGAAACACATGATCGAGCAACGTGTCTCTCTCTTCCCTGCGGCTGAACCTGCCTACTCGCTTATCTCTGCTAGACGTCGCAGCGCGAGCAAAATTGGCATGCCGAGCGATCTCGCAGTACGAGTAAATCCAATGAGCTGTGAAGCTCTTTTTCACAGATGTCCGGTAGTGGCGGGTCAGCGAGTCACATTAATCTTACAAAGAAGGGATTACTGGAGTAAGATAGAAATGTTAAACAAGTCACTCTTTAATAAATTTAGAGCATGGACGCACAAACCACAGTTGCTGAGCAGCGTGCCCAAGGGCCCAAAAGCCCACTCAGCGGCCAGCAACAAACGGCGCCACCGTTCAAAGTGCAGCAGGCCAGGGTTGACACGGTTCCCCGATTGAGCACGGCGAGCACTCGGGCATGGAACGAAAGAGACGGAACAATGGGTGGGTAAATCCAAACGTTGCGTGGATCGTATGACAACCGCGTGTGTTTAGTTTGAGCCGAAAGCGAGCGGGCTTTCCTTTCACCCTAACCCACCCACAAACCCATCGCGCTTCTCCGCCCCTCCGCCGACCGGCCTCCAGGCCAGGCCCTTGTGGACGTGGGCGAGTCCTACAAGGAGATGGCGGAGGTGAAGGACGGCCTGGACATCGGCGTCAAGCAGAACTTCATCGACCCCCTGCAGGGCCTGCAGGAGAAGGAGCTCAGGGAGATCGGGGTGAGCGCGGGTCCGCGAGTCGTCCGTCGCCGGCGCTCGCGCAGTCAAAGGTCCCTCCCCGTGCGCGTGGCCTTCACGGACTCTGAGGGGCAAGCGCCGTTTGGCGAGTAGCGCCGTACGACGGCCGGCACAGTTGCACGAGGGGGTTGGGGTGACCAACACCGTGCCCGGCCGCCTTTGTCTCCCGAGTGGCGATGTTTACACACCGCACCAGTTGCTCATTTTTAAGGCCGAGTCAACCGAGGGGAGGAGGCCCCAGGGCTGGTTCTGATATCCACCAGTTGAGAATTCTAATTCCTGGTTGGTATGGAGGCGGGGGGTTAACTCGGCCAATCATCCCTCGAGGGTCAATAAAACTGAGTACCACTTTGTTTGGAAGTCGACCGCGGTTTGTTCTATGGATAGACGCCGATACCGCGATAATCGTCGTTGTGAAAATTGACATCGCGGCGTGCGGCATCGTGAGAAATAACATCGTGGCAGCCGTAGCCACTGCACAGGGGCTTGCGTGCGGCCTTGTGATGCCGCCGCCAATCACCGTCGCGATTCTCTCGGCTCGCCGCTGCTGCCGCCGCTACAGCAACACCTCAAGAAGCTGGAGGGGCGGCGCCTCGACTTTGACTACAAGAAGAAGCGCCAGGGCAAGATCCTGGAGGAGGACATCCGCCAGTCGGCCGAGAAGTTTGAGGAGTCCAAGGAGGTGGCCGAGAGCAGCATGTTCAACCTCCTGGAGAGCGACGTACGTACGCCCCCCCCCCCGCGCGTCCTCGCCCACCCCGCGCGCTCGGTTCGTCGAGGTGGCGATGAGAGAAAGAGGGAGAGGCGGACGATTGTTTGATTATAAGGTCCACCGGGGGAGATGCTGAAGCAGCCGCCGTGGTGTCGTGGCGAGCACACCGGACTTGCAGTGCAGGAGAGCTCAGTACGTTCATCAGTAACACCACCGTGTGGCCCTCTCACGTCACGGACTTTCGCCGTAACCTCTTGAACCTATCGACACCCAATCCCGTTTTACGAACTGTGTGCCTTGCCGTAATGTACTCGACAGTTGCGAACTTCGCCGCTAAGCCCCACATATTTTTACATTCCACAGCGAACATTCATGCGCCAGATGGCACCCCCAAGCGTGAGTGTCCCTGACAGGCTACGGTCTTTCTCATGTCTACTCTCTTCATTTTTTTTCCCCCCACACTGTATTGATGGAAACAATTTTTTTTACGCAAGTGTGAACTATTTTTCGTATGAAAAACAATTAATAATAATAATACATATATCAATAATATAAACTTACTTTTCGCACCAATGGTTCTGTACCACGTTACGATCCACCATCCCATTTCATGCTTCGTTTTAAGTGCTTTCAATTTGCGTTCTGGTTTTCAGGATTGCATCGTGGATGTGCCTGTACTAGGTGATGTCCTGGGCAGTGGCCCTTCGTCATAGCAGATAGACATGATCCAGGGGTCGCTGCATTGATCTCCCGGCGTAGCAGTTTTTAACGCTTTCCCTTTCCGAGACATCTGTAAGTTGCTGGGTGCGTCCTGTTCACCGCTGAACCTCAGAACGCGCGAGCGGTTCAGCGTTCATTTTATTCAGAGAGGCGTAACGCCGTTATTTTCAAGACATCATACTCACCGCAGAGAACCGTAGCGACACGACCGCACTCGAGGATAGCTGGCGCCAAATTTTTGCCACACGCCCTCCCATATGCCCTTCATGGTGACCGTCCTTGTTCGATGGCTCGCCAAAAGCCGCTGCGAGAATGACCGGAGTTTGCGTGACGGTTTGACGAGATCATCAAGTTATTGTGGTTCATTTGCGGCAAAAACTGTGTGTGTAATGTCGGCACGCAGCGGTCCCGCAACTTTCCAATGGTGTCACGGGATCTCTTAATGCGCCCGCGGTGTTAACCAGAACGGCCTGCCGGATTCTAACCGCGAAATCGCTGGGCCAAACATCGCCTTCCCCAATCGGAATACGGTCGGCGACAAGGGGAATAATAGATCTCCGATTTTTAAGAGAGAATCCAACTTAATTCTGAATAAGAAGAAGAAGAAGAAGTGGCGCCACCACCACCGCGTAGGAATAAACGCAAGGTTTGGGGGTATGGAAGGACAAAGAATGATGACGAAGGGAGAGGTGCACCGTGAGCGATTAAGGTCGCGCGGATGAACGCGAGGAACAAGGTAGAGACGGGTTAATGTGGCACGGGGGGAGGCGAGGCACGGTCTGGTGTTGGTGGTGGTGGTGGTGACGGCTGAGGTAAGTGGCGGGAGTGGCGACGAGATGGTTGTGTTATGGTAATCTTTCCGGGGAAGAGATGGGGCCCGACGCAGGAACACGAATCCAATTTGCACGAAGCGAGACACAATTTCGGCCTTCGCCAAATGACAATTTACGGCACGCTCTTCTGGGTGTTTCCACCGCCCCCCGCTGTTAACGTCGCATCCTTTCGCTGCGAAACTGTTGGGTAAATGGAGGCGTGTAAAATATTCACGTCAAATATTTCAACGTAAACATTTAACGGCCGGACACGAAACTTCCTTGGCCGCCTCGTTGCGACTTCTCTGGGTTTCTGCATGAAGATGCGAGACGCTCCAGTTTGTTTTTCGTGTATTTTTCCCATCAAATGTTATCCCATGCGCCCAACGTCATGATACCAAGTATTAATTTGGGTCTCTCGCTGAGCAGTGTTAGAGAATGACCCGTGGAAGCGGATATCATAGAACTACTTTTTAATTCGCAGACCTGGAATTTAACCAAATTCTGTGCCGAACCAAATTTAACGTGGCGTTATTTTTTAACGTGACGTTATTTATGACTGGGCAGAGAGCATCAACTCCACCACACTTGAGAACCAACCCGGTTTAATCACAGGGAGCAGCCTGTCTTCAGCGGTGCCGGTTCAACGCTCCGACCTCTCGGCCACGCTGCACCGTCTAATCTCTGCAATTTTCGAAAAGACAAACTGGAAAGCCGGACTATTCAGTGGATATCCACATCGTATTCTATTCATATGCTACATGAATCCAAATTAAAATATATAATATAGGTTGCAAAATAACAGGGAAGGGTCTCTTATGTCGCGAAAACACGCCAACAAAATAGCGACTGGGTTGAGTCCGTTAACTCGCTGCGCTTGTGTGCATCTGGTTTAATCGTGGGCAGTTGGCTTTCTGAAATGAATGACCGACTGAGCCTCCTGTCCATCGTGAAGTTATCCCCGTCACGGGTTTTGTGGCTCTGTCTCGGCCATGTCCGCGTGAAGCTATGACCTACCCTTCCTCCGCACGTCTATTACACGACGTTCCGGCCAGCACGAGTCCAGTGCGTCCCCCGTGCCACAGCTCCGATGCCGTGGCACGAAGTGGAAAAATCCACCGTGAAAAAAAAACAACAACAAACGACCGCTCACGCCGCCGTCAACACGCGATCAAAGTCGCGCGAATCTCTCTCTGCTCGCTCGCGCAATTGGGGGGGGGGGGGGGCGAGCAGCACACCTCTCATTTGGTAGTCTCTGGGCGAAATTCCACATTACCGTGGCAGGGGATAGTCCCACCATGTACCTGTGTATGTTGAATCTTCTTTCACACCGTACGTAGCCAACCGTGCGAATCGGAGGTGCGGGGGGGGAAGGACAGCAAACTAAACACAATTCTCAAAGCCGTACTGATGGCCACTGTCCCATTCGTTAGGCGTAAACGATCTGGCCGCTGAGCGGTGCTGTTGGAAATGCCAACAACTGCAGTCGTTTATCCGGCCCGGGTTGCACAGCGGTACAGCGAGCGGTTGTTCTATGTAAAGCCTCGCCCCTGCCATGGGATTGTGGAATTTCCATCACTGGCTCATCTAGATGAGTGCCACCTAGATGCTGATTTGAGCAGGGAACCGGGGTCCAAATCAATCCCTCGTAGCCTTTTGAGTCAATAATATGATGGGGGTTTTTTTCTGAAGCCAACCATGATCATGCAATGGATGGACTGATCCCTGCCACAGTAATGTGGAATCTTCATTATTTACAGCAACAACCACAGTCTGTGAAGAGTGCAAGCCGACGACGTTTCTTATAATTTAATAACGGATTTTTTTTTTTTTCCTCCATCAAAGATGAATTCGAATTTTGCTTCCCCCTTCAGCAGCAGCAGCAGCAGCCATCAGCCATCATCACGTTTGTCAAGTGCGATCAATGCCACTACTTCGCACTCAGGACTCTCCGTCCCGCCCTGGGGGAGAGTCGCCCCCCCTGCAGAGCTGGATCTCTGGAACACGTTTGAGGATGACCTACTTTCCCCTCGAGATGCCCACTCCGTCGCCAGCCTTGCGCTCCACGAGTTTCACGCCAAATTTTGTATTTGTCCCCCGGTCCCTGAGCGGCGTCGCTGCCGTCCGTGCGTCCGTGGCATCCTCGGCGCTTACGCGGCGCGGTCGAGCTGCCGCCAACGGCCGACGATGCCGTGGGTGCGACCTCCAGCGAAAAACGTCGCGTGGGGAAAAAAAAAAAAAAAAAAAACGCGTCAAACTCTTGCTTCGCCCTTCAACATTGCTCCGGTTTTTTTAGCTGACGAGCCGGTCTCGGTTGGCGTATCTGCCCAGGACGTGAGAACCGGATTTGATTGGGTTCTGCCGGGTGGCGGAGGGCTACGGGTAACAAAAGTACATTACACAGACACGACGATCTGACTCGCAGACAGACGCATCCTGAATGACGACAGCACTCTTCAATGGAGATAGCAGACCCTGCCCCCCTACAGGCGACGAAGGCTGTTGTGGAAACTGCTGATGGTGAGCAGCTGTGAAGGCTGCGACGTCGCACGGTCGGGTTGGTGTGGCCGGCACCACCCCCGCCTGCTTTTGTCTCCCGAGTGCCGTTATTTACATACTGGGCTGAGTCGACCTAGGGGAGGCCCAGAACCGGTTCAGATATTCATCAGCAATGTTGTTCCATGAGCGGGAAGGCAGCTCAAGCTTGCCAGGTTCGTAACGCAGTGCATGCGTGTGTGCGTGCACTGTGTACGTTTAGGTGTGCCTGTGTGTGAGTGCGTGTGTGGCTAGCGCCAGCGTAGCGGTTAGCGCGCTGTGTGTGTGTGTCTGTGCGTGAGTGCGTGTGTGGCGAGCGCCAGCGTAGCGGTTAGCGCGCTGTGTGTGTGTGCCTGTGTGTGAGTGTGTGTGTGTGAGTGTGTGTGTGGCGAGCGCCAGCGTAGCGGTTAGCGCGCTGTGTGTGTGTGCCTGTGTGTGAGTGTGTGTGTGTGAGTGTGTGTGTGGCGAGCGCCAGCGTAGCGGTTAGCGCGCTGTGTGTGTGTGCCTGTGTGTGAGTGTGTGTGTGTGAGTGTGTGTGTGGCGAGCGCCAGCGTAGCGGTTAGCGCGCTGTGTGTGTGTGCCTGTGTGTGTGTGTCTGTGTGTGAGTGTGTGTGTGGCGAGCGCCAGCGTAGCGGTTAGCGCTACGCTGCGCTACGAACCCGGCGACCCGAGTTCGATTCCCGCTCACGGCCGACACCGGTGACGATTATCTGAACCGGTACAGGGCCTCCCCTAGGTCGACTCAGCCTCAAACGAGCACCTGGTACGGTGTGTAAAGATCGCCACTGGGGGAGACAAAGGCGGTCGGGCCTGGTGCTGGCCACCCACACCCTCGTGTGCCGTGCCGGCCTTCGCAGGTGCTGCTCGCTTAACGACACTTGCCCCAACAGTCTGTTAAGGCTACACGGGGGGTCTTTGTCCTTTGCGTGTGGAGCAGGTGGAGCAGGTGAGCCAGCTGGCGGCGCTGGTGGAGGCTCAGCTGGAGTACCACCAGCAGTCAGCCGTCATCCTCGTGCAGCTCCACCAGAAGCTGCAGCGCCGGTGACGCCCCCCCCCCCCTTACTCCCCCAGCCCCCCACCCCCCATACCCTCTTCATCCCTCCACCCCCCTACATCCCTCCTCCCCCCACCCCCCCCATACCCCCTTCCTCCCATCCTCCCTCCTCCCCCGCCCCCCTGCTGCCCCTTTAAACCAAACCACGCGTCCATTTGGTGTCGGCACCTTTCGAATGGCACGAGGCCACCGTAGAGGTCAGCGCGCGTTTGCCGATTAACACGGTTGGCTACGTACGGTGCAAAAGATGTTCAACATGCACGCATGCATACATGTGGCAGGAGCAGTTCAGACATCGCTCACCACTGATGGTAGCCTTGACCAGGAATCGAACTCGGGTGGCCGTATCAATGATCCGTCGGTTGCAGAGCCGCAGTTGAGAGACTACCGGCCGCCACTGCTTCAGGGACGCCACGTCTCGCTGCAAAGCGACGAGGATGTGAATGCGACGTCCGGTCCTCGGGAATCCTACGCTCCACGAACGAAGGCGTCACAACACCGTGGGGACGAACGTGCGTGCGTGCCTAGCAGGGGAATCGCCGGGAAACTTCATTCACTGAACCCTTCCTCGTCTGCAAGCGGCTCAACGTTAATTTTTTTTAAAGGAAGGCGCAGTAGCGCCATTGTTTTTAAGGACATTGTACTCAACGCAGAGAACCGTAGCGACACGACCGTACTCTACGATAGCTGACGCCAAACTGTGCCACACGCCCTCCCGCACGGCTTTGAAGGAGCCTCTGTTCCGATAACGTTATTTTATTTTAGTTTTTCTTCCGGTTTCGTTTTGACGATTTAAGTCGTCGGAACGGAACCGGAAGATAAACCGACGACCTTAGACGTACGTCATCGGAACGGGGAAAGGGTTAACAAACAACGCTTCGTTAACTTTCACATTTCGGAGTGCGGCTCAACTGTGAAGGACTCTTGAGAACGGCCTAACGCCACTTCGCTATTCTCATTTTCCGGAACTCGACGTCTCTCTCGCACGGCTTAACCCTCGAAGTGCCCTCACGGCGGTTGCGGGCGCCGTGTGACCCCCTCCCCCCGGTGCGTGCCGCCGGCGACCCGTGGCGCAGGATAAGCGAGACGTCGGATCGGCCGAGGCGAGAGTTCAAGCCCAAGCCCGTGTTCGCGCCCTGCGACCTTCAGGAGAGCAGCCAGCAGAACGGCGGCGTCAGCGCCGCCTCCTATGCCTCCTCCTCCGCTCGCTCCTCCAAGTCCTCAGGTACCGGGGAGCGGCGGGGGGGGGTGGGGTTGGTGAGCGGCGATTCACAGCGCCGTGAGAGACGGGCGCGGGACGTAGTACGCGGGCGCCGCCGGCTCGTGCCCCCACCCCCCCTTCCCACCGCCTCAACACCGCAGGCAACGGTGTGGTTGCACCGGGGAAACGGACGGGGATCTCCCGTCTCACGTGACCTGTTAGCGGTTAGCGTCCATTCACCATCGTCCTCCGCAACGGGCTTGCCTTGTCATTGTAGGGACACCGACTCCTGCCATTGGAATGTGGAATTCACACCCATTCCCCCCCCCCCCATGCCTGTCCGTGTGGATGAGTTCCGCCCATTGCTTGTTTTACCTCGACTCGAACTTTGACCTATGTGATTCGCCACATCCGTACTGCCATCGGCGTGCGTTTCCACACACAGCGTGCACCGAACGCTGTGTGCGTGTGTTTGCGAGAGCACGTGCTGCGAATGGTTAACACCACGGTAGGTTCTACGTAAAGTGGGGCTTAATTTCAGCCGGATCTGTCTGATTCGGTTACCTGAAAAATATTGCCAAACACCGGCCACACCACACCCAGCATAACTCTCGCTATGGCAGTGACCGCTATTGTACGGACCACCTGCTCCAGTCCGTCGAACTCCCAGAAAATATCGAGTGAGAAATTAAGCCCCGCTTGGTGCAAAGCGCATGTCTTGCTTGTGAGTGTCGCGCAGCCCGAACGCGTGTTGTCCTCGGACGTCTGCTGCGTTGTCCTCATTGTTCATCGCGTCGTGGCAGAATCGCATGGCAACGATTTGCAGTTCCGTGCATTTCATTTTAAGCGTATTTCCATTCGTTGTTTTTTTTGTTTTTATTTTCCCCTTCGCCACGCGCTCGCAGACTCATCCCGCCTTAACGTGTGACGTTTTTCCCCTCCGTGTCACATGACCCCGCCGCATGATCTGTCACGTGACCCCCAACATCAGACTCCTCCCCGAGGCTCAGCCAATCGGGGAACTTTAGCTGGTCGCAAGAGATTCAGACCCTGGGTGAGTACTCGCTGAGCTGACTGCTGCTGAAATATCAAGCTGACGATCGTTTATTTTCATAATTCTTTTAAAATGTACAAATTTACCTCATCACCTTACGTCATTAACTCTCCACCAGGACTGTGATACATCGTACGAAAAGAAGATGCGTGACAATCGTATCGTCTAAATACCCTTACATCATGATTGTCATGGATTGTTTCAATTATCATATTAATTTATGTTCCCGACAAACTTTTTTGTCACAAATTCGAATTGTAAATACGCTAGCGGTTGTCCATTAAATTATTGGTTTGTAAGTGTAAAAAAAAAAAATCTCCGGAGTAATTGACGACGTGGCGATTTTATGACGTCGTCGTTTTCCATAGCTGAGTTATGATTATTTTCGTGTGTAACTTGCACGGATAACTCGGCAACCTGAGTTCGATTCCCGTGCACTGTTCGCGTTGGTGTCGAGTGACATCCGAACCAGTCGTGACTGATTTGACAAAGGGCTGTGGGCTCTTACAATCCGTGTTAATTCTCTGCATTAAATAATCTGCGTTCGATTTGAGAAAAAAAAAAATCTGATTGTTTTTGCTTTCGTACGTGGCGCTGCGCCCAGGCTGGCACTGCAAGATGAAGCCGCCTGTGATTAATGCGCCTCACCACGGCTGACCAATCACGCCGCTGGCTACTTCCCTGTGGCCGGCCCAGAGCTTCGCGTGCGAGCTTCGCTGCAGCTCAGCTCAGACCCTGCGTGCTCCACGGCCTTGCTCTCTTTATGCGCTGCCCGCTGCCCGAATTGCTCGCGACCAGATTGCGACAACGTCTCTAGCGATAGTGCGGTCCGTCGCGTGGCGGCCCCCCCCCACGTCGCCCGGATCCCCCCCCCGGCCTCCCCCCCCCTCTACCCGCACACCCCCCCCTCCTGCGCCCCCCGCCCACACAACACCGGGATGGCTGCATTTCAAAGGTGCCGCCGGTAATAAAAAATGCGTCGAGCCGTACGTCCGCGGAGGGTGTTCGCTCGGGGCACAGGGTCCTTCGCGGCGGGCGCGAGAGATCCCGAGTTTGAAAGATAAAACGTTGGAAAAAGCTACCGCACGCAGCAACGTCGCCCCTCTACCGGCACACTGCACTCATCTGTGAAACAGCAGCGCCTTCCTTCCTGACGATGTAGCCTTCGCGCGACGAATGGCACCGATACCAATTATACCAAGTTGATGATGTGGTGTTAGCTGTCGTGGCAATAATTAGAGCGTTTCCAATCAAGTATTAAAGCTTTCGTGACTGCATAAAATTACTCATTGGTTTTTTTTTCGGTAAAGTCACGTATGTAGAAATACAACAAAATTATATTAAAACAAAAAACAATCACGACGTTTCGATCACAACGCAAGCGATCTTCATCAGGTGTCAAGAACAAATCACGGAGGTAAATACAACAAAAATACAACAAAAAGATGAGAGACGAGAATTCAACAAACCTGAAAAAACATTACGTGAAGCACATCCAGTCAGGCCAACAACACAGTTAGACAGTTAGACTGGATGTGCTTCACATAATGTTTTTTTCAGGTTTGTTGAATTCTCGTCTCTCATCTTTTTGTATTTACCTCCGTGATTTGTTCTTGACACCTGATGAAGATTGCTTGCATTGTGATCGAAACGTCGTGATTTTTTTGTTTTAATATAATTTTATTGTATTTCTACATACGTGACTTTACCGAAAAAACCAATGAGTAATGTTGGGTTTCCTCCAGGGATGCTTCCGGTTCCCTCTCCGGCCCAAACAATGCTCAGCAGGGATTGGCGGGACAAACCCGTGGCAGCACCCTGTCCTAAAAAGCGGGCAGCCGAAGCACAGTAAAGCTTCCGTGAACAAAAGACGATTCGTGTCACTCGTCGATATCTCTCTCCCTTTGAAATCTCACAACTCCTAAATGTCTCTGTGTACAGGCTGCAAGTCTGATCAGGCCCGCAGCCACACGAGGCCTGCCACATCCAAACGGCCCAGCGATGGATATTTACCCTTTTATCGATTCCTGCGAGCATCTTAGCCGCGCTGATCGGGTCCTAGCGGGGAATACGTTTGACTTGGCGACACTGTATGGATACCGCTTTGTGGCGGAACGCAGCAGTGGTTGTCCTATGGATAGGCTCGCCCCCAGCATGGGAACGTGGAATTTCGACCAGCTGCTGTAAACTGTGGATGAGCACCCCGCCCGATGCCCGTTCGAGCGAGAAATCACTTGGACTTTGAGCACTATCGACCTCAGATGCGTTTTCCCATTGTACCGCGCGCCCCCTGAAGAAGCTCCCCACCACGTGGAGCGAAACGTCGGACATTACAGTCACCTGTAATTATTTCTCCACTGTTAGTATTATTATTCGATGACGCCAAAGTCTGTGGTCATTTGTGTTGGCCCGCCAAAGGCATTCAGATTTCCTATTTAACCATCGGTGAAGTCAATATTTCCCCCGCCCACACCTGGAGATGATCTCAGCTGTCGAGACGCTATCCCCAACTGGACATCTGTGAAAAAGAGCTCACAGCTCATCGGATTTCTCCGGGATCGATAAAGATTCCGATTCTGTTTCTGCTACCGCTGCTGCTGTTGCAGTGCGGGTCGGTGGATCACACGCACGCAAATTCGTGAACCGCCCTCCCCTACCCGTGGGCATCTCCTGGCTTTACCGGGGGTATGATGTCGGTACAGCAAGTGGATCACGTGCCATCTGTACGGGGATTGTGTGTTATGCGCAGGGTTTACGCTGGGCGCAACCGGTTTCCTCCTCCCGCTGATAAACATTGGAGTTGGCCACAGCCCAATTAAGGGACCACAGAGCTGGTGCGACTGTTGGCCATCGCTGGTTTTGACTGCTTCCCTGCTCGTCTGCAGCTTCCCCGCGCAAAAAAAACTGTCGCCCGTTGCTAAAACCCTGCGAGCGGCGTTTTTGAGGTGCAGCTTGCGCGAACGGCGCCGGTGCGGTTTGTGAAGCCACACGGCCTGCTTCTAACGTGCCGGCGTGACCCCCCAGCAGCGGCGCCCATGGACCAGCCGTGCTGCAAGGCGCTGTTCGACTTTGACCCCGAGAACGACGGGGAGCTGGGCTTCAAGGAGGGCGACGTCATCACGCTCACCAACCAGATCGACGACAACTGGTACGAGGGCATGATCCACGGCCAGTCGGGATTCTTCCCCATCAACTACGTCGAGGTGCTTGTGCCACTGCCGCAGTGACCGTCGGGGGGGCGCCCCGGAGCTCCTCCCCTGCACCCCCCTTCCCCCCACCTCCTTCCACCCCAACCCCAACCCCCCATTTCCCCGTCACGGCATCGGCCACTTCGCGCCGGCTCGCTCGATGGTAACGCAGGGGGCGGATTCGGCAAGCCGAGGGGGAACGCCGGCGGGAGCACAGGGGGAAGCGGCAGATTGTTAACAGGGCAACGGCGTCCGCAGAGGCGTAGCGGTGTACGCGTACGACGCGGGCCGGGAGACAGCACGGCGCTTCGCCAAGCGCCCGTTGCAGATTGTCGCGCCCGCGATGAACACTTTGCCGAGCGTCCAAGTGCCCTATTTCCAAAAGTGCCCCGAAGCAGGCCGCGTAGGGATTCGTTTACTGAAAAGTGTTACTGCCGTTACTCTCGACGCGGCGCTGGAGAGGGGGGGAGAGCTGTGTATCTCGTCCGTCTCGGCGCATTTAAAAGGAGAGAAAAAATACTTGTAAGTTAACGACACTTGTCGTTCGACGTACGCCTTGTGGAACGGTTTTGTGACTCCCGTATACGGCACCACCCCCCATCCCCCCGTCCTCCCCCGTGGGATCCGCACCTGCTCGGCGATTCATTGGTCGATGGCATCTTAACGTGCGCAGAGGTCGTGTAATTGTTGGCGCCGGCACAGAGCGTGGCTTGTCCGTGGCTCCTCCCCGCGCCTTCTTGAGTCGTTCTCTCTCTCTCTCTCTGTCTGCGAGAGCGAGCGAATGCTGCGCGGCGCACGTTACAAGTTGAACTCATTGTTATTGGCGGCACAAACCCCGCGAGCCGAACAAAGCCGTTTACACAACTGCCGGAGTTTTTTTTTTTTTCGCGGTTGTGCCTCTGCATCGCGATTTCGTTTTTCTTTCTCTTTCCAGTTGTGCGGCCGCGTAGCTCCCCGATCTGTTTTGCGGCGGCTGTACCGCCGTGCGTTGATCGGCAACGACGCCCGACGTTTCCATGTTCCCGAAGAAGCCGCCGGGGCGTGGAGCGAAACGTCGGGCTTCGCGCAGGGAAACGCACGGCGCGACCCCGACAAAACACGCGGCAGAGGCCAAACACGGTCGTTTGTTTTCTGTGAGCGCGCGCGACGCACGGCGTTGTTGCCTTTGGTTTGTTGTCCTTCCCCCGCACCTCTTGACGAGCACGGTTGGCTCCGTACGGCGCGAAAGAAGTTCAACGTGTGTACGTACAGCGGCGCCCCGTGCGCGGTTTCGTGAAGCGCTTTGTACCGTAGCCTTGTACGTGGTAGCCTTGTACGTGGTGGTTTCACCGGTCGTGCTGTACGGCTCTCCCGTTGCGTTGTCGGTTTGTGCCGCGCGGTGATCGGCGCCATGCTCTGACGTTTCGCTGCACGCGACGGGAGCTTCTTCGGGAGCTGACTTGAGCGGCCCACTCTCTCCCTTGGTTCTGTAGTAGAGTGGCTCCGCTGCTGCTGCTGCTGTTGCGTCTTGACACCGATTTTTCTGAGCTCGCTGAACGACGCAAGAGATAACATCGACCGGGCCTTTGTCCAATTGGCGTCAAGATCCAACAACGGCAGCGTCCGGCAAAACGCTCTCGCCGTCGAGAGTAAGCGAGCTTGCTCAGTTCGGCTGCTGACGAAGGCCCCAGCACACGGAGCGGAACGTCGGGCAACGTCTCGAGCAGCACGCGGTACAACACGAAGCGCGTGGAAGAGCTTTGTCCATCATTTCATTTCCTTCACCCCGTCCCCCACACCCCCACGGACTTATTCGCCGCGAACTTGCCGTTGGGGCTCAGCTTGGGGTGAGAGTTTACAGAGCCCCGTTGCCGCGTGGTGGTGGTGGTGGTGGCCTGTCGCGTCCGCGTGTCTACGTCGCGTGCCTGCGTGTCTCCCACACACCCCCAGCCGTGCATGTTTTTGTGCTGGAAGTGGTGGGGGTCCGTTCCGTGCTCGTCAAAAGCGATCAAACTAAAGGAAAAACCGCCCGAGCCTCGGACCTGGGGCAGCCATCACTGTCTGAGTATTATTATTATTAATGTTATAAACCAATTGGCAACTTTGCACAAGATGTTTGCTGATCCCCATTCATTTTTCTCTCAACCCGGATATTATTGCTGTTGAGTGGCGAACGTTATTTACACTGGCAAGCTACCTTTGCAGCAATTCCAAACGTTCCACGGGAGTCTACGGACTTTGGTTTGCATAAAAGCAACTACACACAGAAGAAAAGGAGAGATGATGTACGTTGCATCTTAAAGTACAGAAGATGGAATGTGTTATGTAATATAGGTGCTGAGACACAATAATTAGACATGATTAAACAGCCCGATTGGCTCTGCCGATCGTGTTGACAGGCTCGGACGCAAGAGACGGTGACGCTGAGAGATTTGGGACCACGTTACGGACCAATTCGTCGATGGAAGTGCAATTCGGTTTTGCCATTTCAGCAGACATTGAGCGGTCTACGTTGCCTCTATGTGCATGAGTATGGGCCACACTGACCAGCAACCCGGGAGCCCTGTGCTTGAATGTCAGAGACCAGCGTCCACACGCCCTGAAGTGTACCGGTCACTCTGTGTCCACTGAAGTGTACCGGTCACTCTGTGTCCACACTTTGAAGTGTACCGGTCACTCTGTGTCCACTGAAGTGTACCAGTCACTCTGTGTCCACACTCTGAAGTGTACCGGTCACTCTGTGTCCACTGAAGTGTACTGGTCACTCTGTGTCCACACTCTGAAGTGTACCGGTCACTCTGTGTCCACTGAAGTGTACCGGTCACTCTGTGTCCACACTGTGAAGTGTACCGGTCACTCTGTGTCCACACGCCCTGAAGTATACCAGTCACTCTGTGTCCACACGCCCTGGAGTGTACCGGTCACTCTGTGTGTCCACACTCTGAAGTGTACCGGTCACTCTGTGTCCACTGAAGTGTACCGGTCACTCTGTGTGTACACACCCTGAAGTGTACCGGTCACTCTGTGTCCACTGAAGTGTACCGGTCACTCTGTGTCCACACTCTGAAGTGTACCGGTCACTCTGTGTCCACTGAAGTGTACCGGTCACTCTGTGTCCACTGAAGTGTACCGGTCACTCTGTGTCCACACGCCCTGAAGTGTACCGGTCACTCTGTGTCCACTGAAGTGTACCGGTCACTCTGTGTGTACACACCCTGAAGTGTACCGGTCACTCTGTGTCCACTGAAGTGTACCGGTCACTCTGTGTCCACACGCCCTGGAGTGTACCGGTCACTCTGTGTCCACACGCCCTGGAGTGTACCTGTCACTCGCGCTAACAGCTGTGCCCGTGATGTCTCCTCATGTTGGTTTTAAGGCTTCGGAGTCTCAGCCCACAAGGGTAATTGGCATTGTACTGAATGTTGTTTAACCACTGATTAATTATGACTCCCGATAGAGTGTATGAGCTCTTTATATTTTTGCACATTTCTGCTTGCGAGGTCACTTATTCCTTCCCGTGTAGACCTATGTTGCTGTAGTGGTCGTCCTGATTGCTTTGTGAGAGCCGTAAATCTTCATGCCTCAATAGACATTTTATAATGTAGAGAAATGCACATCTGTGACCGACGGATACTATATGTATATGTTTTACTATACGAGATGTATTTTATGTGTTAAGTGGTTCAGTGAATTGCCTTAACATTCCCTGTCCTGTGTCCTGTAGCGTGGTGATGTGGTGCATTGCAATGTTGATGCACAGGTGGCATTGTTTCAAAAGTATTGCGTAAATAAATCTATCGTGGTGGGGGTTACAGCTCTTGCGTACGTGGGTTTGGGCATGTCTGCTTCTTCGGAGAATGGTGGTGCAGTGATTTGCGCACTTTGCGACAAACCCAGCGACCCGAGATCAATACCCGCTCACGATTATAAACAGTGGCGAATATTTGAACGAGTCCAGTACCTCCGCTAGGTCGACTCAGCATTAAATGAGTACCTGGTTGCTGTGTGTAAACATCAGCACTTGGGAGACAAAGGCAGTCGGGCGTGCCATTGGCCACTCACCACCTCGTGTGCCACACCAGCCTTCTTTATTAGTGCTCAGTAACGGCACGTGCCCCAACAGTCTGCTAAAGTCTATTAGGAGATCTTTGTAAGCTTCTTCAGCAGCATTTAGGCATTTGCACCGGAGCGATCAGATTGCATGTAAATATACGTGGACCTCTCTGTGGCCTGTTAATGACGATACCGTACTTATAAAATCCCAGATGTCTTTCTGTCTCTCACTCTGAACCATAATTCTGTCTTTCTCGGAGAACGCCTGCCACCAAGATATGTCAAGGACGTGTGTGTTTTTTTTTATTCACGTGTCATTTTCAACAGAATGGAAAATTCCACCGATATTTGGTCGAGAAGTAGGTCGCACGGTCAAATTTGTTGTCGGGTTTGGTTATTTATCCACGCAATGGGTTTAAAATCAAACATATCCTTTGTGTTCCTTCCAGAAAGAGAAACTTTTTATTTTAAACTAATAAGATGACAGCTTCTGAGAGCAAACGAAGGAAGGTGAACTCATCAATTAACACAATGTGGTTTGTACAGTCAAACGCATGTCAGTCTAATTTAATTGACTCGTTACACTAAAAGTTTCCCCCTGTGAGATGAACTAACCCTCTTAGCCCAACAGGTTTAAGGCACATCCTGGAGCGAAACTCTATTCTGCTCTGCCGCGTGCCAAAAGGTAACGCACCCCTGGTCGGAGAGCCTCCGAGTGACGTGTCCGCTCCGTGTACACGTCACGTGCACCAGCCCTTTTTGTCAAGCCACTGCTGGATGAGGGCCTCGCACTGTTCCCCTCTGAGTCGTCGGGGTCACGGCCTACGCTTGGGGCCGATCGTATTATTACCGTGCCATCGCTCACTTTGTATTTTGTTTCTGGTGAGAGCGGCGTCATAAGAGATCGCTGGGGGATAGCAAGTCACCTGTTATTTCTTCCAGATATCACAGGCCACTATTGTATGTTCGTTGAACTTCTTTCGCGCCGTACATCGCCAACCCTGCTCATCGGAGGTGCGGGGGAAGGACAAGAAACTAAACACAACGGAAAAAAAACACGTGGAAGGTGTGTGCTATGAAGAAGAACCATTGCCTGAAACATGGACGATTATTTACTTGTCCTTGTTTAACCACGGTGTTGACAAATCTGTTGGGAGTTTTTTTTGCGCTCATGCACCAATGCCAACAAGGCAGCATCACTCCATGATTAGTTGCATGCGAGAGGAGTGGTGCGCCTCTCGCCCGCCCTGTACGAAGGCAAACCTGCAACAAAATGTTGGCCGGTTTTTTGGCAAGTTGCTTGTGGACTGTGGCGATGGCGGAACCAGTTCCGGAGAGGCAGCTGAAGGTGCTCGTGTTTAGATTCAAAGATGACGACGAGGATTATGATAAAGTTGGCAGTAATTCGAGGATTATGATAAAGTTGGCAATGCAGTCGTGAGAGCGCCGCACTAAAAACCCAGCCATCAGAGTTTGATTCCCAGGCAAGGTTAGAAGATTGTCGCCACATCTACCCCTCTATTTAAGGAACGAAACAGGAGGATGTATCCACAAATATGGCTGTTGCCTGATGAAGCTAGTTGTAATTACTGGCGAAACGTCGTACTCAGATTGTAAATGTTGTGGCTTTGCACTCCAACACACACCAGTGTGCTGTACTGGTAACGAATTGGCATGTTCTGTTTATGTGAGAAATCTTACTAATTGGCTGTGTCGGGTGGTGGGGGGTTTAATGACACATTTATATATTTACGTGATCTAACCCAAAAACCTGTATTATTGTTAATATCGGTTGCAAGTAATTATAATCTTACCCAGTCCTGACCGCTCCTTCACCGACAAGTGTGGTGAATTATGGTCAAAATGACAACTCCCCATGACTGCCGTGATGTGGGGAGGACTACAACCATCAGTGAATTGACATAAGGGTGAAATGTTTCATTTTGATTCCGGTAATTATCTTATACAGGCAAAGCACACTTCAGGATTTAATGATGTTCCCAAAGTTTACCAAGTACCAAGCACACCCAATATGTGATACAGCGTTCCGCTACAATGACAGACAGACAGCATGTGTCAATGCTCCCCCGCAAAATGCCACAACTTAACACCGTTCATGTTCTCCATTTATTATTCATCACAAACGGTTATGAGACTTCAGCTGCGGTCGGCAAGACACGCGAGAATTGGTCCGTAAATATTTCATAGCAGAATCCTGTAATCGGCTTCGGGAGCAAGAAGTTGTCGCGGCGTACGCCGCCACATCTCGCCGTCGCCTCATCCTGCAAGATCCAGCAACTGTTTGACCCTCGACCCCCAAGACTCTCGCTGTATCCCAACAGTGGCCGAGTGTGTTTGGAACGGGGCCCCGGTGCAAGGGTTAAAATGAGGCCCTCCCGCACGTCCCAATTTCCAACCTCTATCGAAAGGGTCCTGCATTTAGGATCCTCCACTAATTTCTTAACGTGCACAACATTTACGACGTGCTCTCCGGATAGATTGTGGCTTATGGTGTACAGTACAGTATTACAAGGAGAAAGACAAGGTGTTGTTTAAACGTATTACGGCATTTCACCTTTATTTAACCAGGGCAAAAAAACCTTGAGGTTAAAAACCGCTTTTGCGAGGGGGACCTGGCAAATGGTCGTTAAAACCAGCCCAGAGTTGGCTACTTTGCAATTTGCCGCTGGAAAACATTGTTTCCCGAAGGTACCGTAGGCTCGTCGACAATTATTTCTACGTGTTGTCTCATCATATATGGGCGCTTTGCATGCGGCAGGAAACTAGAATAACATTGAGAAGCCCTGTGGCATAGAAGCGCTTAAAATCCACACGGATAGGTTTGCAGCCGGCTCGCTCTGCTGAATTCCACCAGCCATCTAATAGCCAAACAAGTTGGGAGTCTGCGTTTCTAATTAAACAGGAGTCTCTGCTGCCAATGGCGTCTTAGATTGGCCACAAGGAACGGCAATGTAAGCAATGGGCAGGGATGGTGTCCCCAAATTGTCATGTCGCTCAAACCCCACAACTTAAATATAAACCAGCATGCACACGCGGATTACTTATCGATGTTATTACTGTGCTTGATTACTCAGGAAGGCCTCACTGTGCCTCAAGATTATTTTCCAGGAGGGTGCTGCCAATTGTTCAAAGTAGGGGGGCGATGTTGCTGCTGCTGAGTGCAAGGCAAATGTACTGCAGTAATTTGCAGTGTATTGCTTCAGCATCACTCTGCAAATTACAAATTGCATTATATCTTTATTACGTTTTGGCAGTAAACCGGGGAACCTGGAGGAAAGCTACGCAGAACAGGGGGAGAAGCTAAGCTCCACGCAGAAAGGAGCCCGGACTCAAGGAACGGAATCCAGGCCCTTATCGCTGTGAGGCACCCATTATCCACAAAAGCTTCAATATGTTTTGCAAATTGCGTGCTGCCTTATAGACTTTACTTAGCTCGTACATTAACAATCGGCAGACGTTGCCAAACAAAAATCAACAATCTGACATTGGCCAACTTTGGAGAGCAGCGTTCCCTTTGGATAAGCCATTGGTGAAAAATGCAGTCACAATAATCAATCCCTCGGCCCTCTCTGTGTGCTATGAAGAAGGATCATTGCCCGAAACGTCACCTATTATATCATTTTTTTAAAGCAGTGTTACTGATGTTGACTTAATTGGTGATGCCATCATCGGACGGTACATTTTTTTCGCGGTGGTGTTGATGACGAGCTCACGTTGAGGAAAAGCAGCGGGCCCGTAGAAGGGCGCGTAGGACTCGTTACCCCGTGACACGGCACGGCGAAGGCGTCGCGCTCTCTCTCTCTCACGTTCACTCGTCGAGCAGCTTCGACAGCTCGTCGACGACGGCCTCCTCCGGCGAGTGGGGTCGCCGTGCCACCGGCGCTGGCCCCTCCGGCCTCGGCTCGCGCCCGTCCACAAACGAGAGCGTCTCCCGCACGCTGCCCTGGTCCAGGTGCCACGGGCTCAGTGTCTTGTCCTTGGCGTGCTTGGCGGCCCACGCGTGCAGCGTGCTGTACAGAGGCTCGCCGTCGAGCAGCTGGTAAGCGTACAGGCCCGACACTATGTCCCAGTCGACCTTCTTGGGCAGGGCATAGCCCTCCGCCTCCTTCTCTGCTGGCGCCGGGGCACAGGGAGGAGGCGGTGGGGCGTCGCTCTGCTGGGCCGCGGCTTCGGGGGCAGTGGCTGGGGTGGCGGCAGCGGGCGGTGGCGGAGGTGATGGGCCGAAGAAGATGGAGACGTTCGTGTTGGCGAGGTCATGGGCTCGCTCCTCCGCCCGCCGGTCAAACTCCTTGTGTTCTATCTGAGCAGAGAAATACAAAACTATTCAGGAGTGCAGCTCTCCGCTGTGTTTTCGGGACGTGGCGCGTGTTGTTCTGCGTGATTTGTCGAAGATTCCGCTGCACATGACCTAAATTACGTTCACCTGAAGAACTCCACAATTTGTCATGGCAAATGCTGCGGTGCAGGCACACTGCAGCTCACACACACGTGCACATGAACCACCGTGGTTGAAGCAGATGCTTCTGTAGGACCTGAGGACTGAATATCCAATGTTAGACACGGTGCCGGACAACAGGCAGTTCAACCCGACAACACATCGGTGAGAGATACAGCAGCACCACCACGAAAAACAGAAACTCAAAGCGTGTCGTCTCCGCTCAAACGAGCAATGGTGCAGCGTTGCTCTCTTCCATTCGTTGGCCCTGAACCAGCGGAGGAAATTCCACATCACCGTGGCAGTGGCCAGTCTCTCTGTGGGATGACCAACTATTTATACCTCCCTCCCCCCCACACCACCCCCACCGTTAATCCGCACTGATTGGCTTGAAGTATGGTAAAATAATCCCCCACCACCTTTATAGTGTGTGGAGGCTTCTCTCGTATTGGCACGGTTGACTACGTACGGTGCGAAAGAAGTTCAACACACGTACACACCCCGGAGTAACAACGGAGCTGTACAAGTAAACGTACAATCAAGCAACAGATACATTACATCATTCCTCTGGGTGTAGTTACAAATAAGTAATATTTTTAAAAAAAGTTTTAATACACGCTTTAATGAAATGTACCGTACTAGTAATGGAAGAACTCCACGACTCCAGGAAGTGGCCCTGAAGCTTGCCACAACGTAAGGGGACCGTGGTCAATTACAGCCAACGTCAGTTGACCGTGGACAATTAGACCCAAGCCGAAACATAACATAAAAATAATGTAAAAAAATATATATTTTTTTAATGATAGAATATGGTATTGTCATCAGTTTGCAGTCGATGCCACATTGGTAAGTGGGCTAAAATTGAGTTAGAAGATTTGAGAATACAACAACAGAGTGAGTTAAAAGAAAGCGTGTAGAAATAGTACCATATTTATGTGAAGCCACCAGGTTAGAATAATAAATACGAATTTAATTGTACATAGCGTCATTCGTGCTAATTGCATCCCGCAACGTTATACATTAAATATAGAGCAAGACCACATCCTATGTACAGTTACTACCAAGCAAATTAAATCTCTCAGAAAAATATTAAACAAATAAATAAATGGAACCAAAACAAAAGGCACAAAGAACGAGAAAAGTTATCACAACAGAAAAATAAGTCTGTTAAGTCGCATCCCGGACCGCTATCCCAACTTCATGCGATGGGTTTCTGCCATGAGAGTGTCGAATTTACCCCGACTGCATGCGCAGGGCCGAGAGCGGAGTGGAGGATCACCCTCCCCGGACGCTCATTTGAATCTAGAGACGCTGACCACAGGCAGAACAGTACGACAGTAGAGCTCTCGGTCGTAATATCCCCACCTCGGTTGACTTAACCGATCGTTCCCCAGGGTGTATAAAATCAGTATCAGCTGGCGAGATTGCATCGTTTGGTGCAGGAAAGCAAACATTGGCTGCCACGTTAATTGAATTATCCATGCCATATGCTTGTGGAATTCCAACCATTGACTCGGCACTGTCAAAGGGGAGATGAATGAAAATGAAATGGAGACGACAAAGTGTTGCTGCCTGCATTCGGGACCCCGGTGGAAAGCGGCGGGTGTGGCCGCGTCTGCGCCTGCCACTGCACGTACGTCAATGTAAGAGCGCCAGAAGCGCAGCTGGTGGTAGCTGACGGGGGACACCCAGTGAGCGAAGCACATGAACAGCATACCCAGGAGCCCCGCCGAGCCCAGCACGGTCCATCCGAGCAGCTAGCGCACACACGCAACACACAAAACGCGCGCGCAAGTCAACAACCATCGACTTGCTGTTACGGGTCAGAGGTAGCCGCCAGCGGTGAAAGTAAAATATTATTTGGCGATGCTGCTGTGAATGCAGTGATGCACACGCCCAATTAACAACAACACTCGACGCATTCGTCAATAGCGCTGCACATGCCCGATGATGATGATGAAGGGCCACTGCCAGTGCCGGATTAAGCTAGTGCGGGGCCTGTAGCATATGTCATAAAGGGGCCCTACATAAAAAAAACACGTAAATATAAAAAAAAAATTGCATAGTAAAGTAATTGTATTGGTTCATTTGCTATACAGCCAGATAATACAACAAATCGCTAACCTTAAACACCCAGTCGTTCATAAAAGTTGAAGTCAGTATAGTACTATAGTAATAGAGCAAGTGCAGAATCACTGAACCGGAATTGATAGCTTGAAAGCATTTAGCGCGGGGCCCTTGAAAGTGCGGGGCCCGTAGCATTTGATACTTTTGCTACTACGATAATCCGGCACTGGCCACTGCCCATAATGTCACCTAGATTTTCCTTTTGAGGCGATGTTATTGAGGCAAGTGTAGATGTTTTGTTGGTTATTATTAAAATATAGGTGAGACATTGAACGTTGAAACTTGTGTTTGTGTTGAACTAATGTTGATAAAGTTTATGCACTCCCGGAAGGCTGTGTGACCGATGGGATGTGTAAAAAAATATCCTTTATGTGGAGGGACATGTGCGGTAGACAGTCTGCTTATAATTGTTATGCTGCTAGATTATCAGATGTTATTGGCAAGAGTACTCCATATAAAATATGTGAACCCGTTCGGTGCAAAAATGCATCGCGAAAATTATCTCGCCTTGAATGTTTCGTGTAAATAATTTGTTGTTATTTTTGCTCTTGTAAGTTCGCAACCCTGCAATGTACTGTAACTGTCACCACTACCGCTCGTCATGAGCCGTGGTCGTCCATCTAAGAGAGCTGTGTGTGTATGTTGAACTTCTTTCGCACCGTACGTAGCCAACCGTGCCAATCGGAGGTGCGATTAGCACGGTCGGCTACTTCAGCTCAATGGGCCCTAACCAGCTGAAATAAAGTCTCGAGTCTACGAATCTCTATGCAACTCTTGCGCTCTATGAAACTCTATGCGACTGCAATGCCCTGCAACTGCTGCCTCTGCCGACAGTTTGGTGGCCTGTGGTGGTGGTGGTGGTGGTAGTCCTTGTGCCAGAGCTTGCTTAGCCGAATGGGGGCCTCCTTACCAGCTGACATAATACAGTTCTCGAGTCCCAATGGCAAATATTTAAAGTACCTCCCGAGAGAAGAAGCCGAAATCAAAACCCTGCCAAACCCATTTCCCCTCCCCCCGGCAGTCTGACGGCCACCGTCGCTCGCTAAAGCGCGTGGCACGTGCCGACCCCCCGCCGGCACCGGCATCGGCGCCGGCACCGCGCGGCACCTGCGACTCCGTGGAGAGGTGCCGCAGGATGTCGTTGCGCACGTGCAGCAGGGCGGGCGGCAGCGACGCGTTTGCGACGCAGGGCAGCTGCGCCAGCATCTCGCGCGTGCGGGCCGCGGGAGGCAACGCGTAGCGGCTCGTGTCGACGCGCTCGCTCTCCGCGCACACGTAGTACGAGCCGTTGAGGAGCGCCACCGCGATCCAGCTGATGGGCGCCACCAACGCACGGCCCGACACGGACACCACCACCTGAGACAGCTTGAATACCAGGCCGGGACCCGAGCCGTGGCGCCTGCGTGCGGGCGGATAGAAGTGGAGGGAGGGGTGGTAGCAGCGGCTGTAGTTTCAGGTTTTTTTTCGTGTCGTCGTGCACGTAAAGTGATATTCGCGAGATGCTGAGTGGCTTCATTTGGAGCGCCTTTGTCAATGCAATGGATTTGAGGCCTCTGCTCGCCACGACAGATCGCGGGGATTGTTGGGTTTGGTGAAGGTTCGGAGCAGCCCAGCATGGAATGTTAACCGTAGTGGAGAATCGAGCTCGGATCAATGGATGCACAGGGTAGCGGTGCTTTTGGCTGCACCACGCAAAAACTTAAGAGACTCAGAATGGCGATTTTAGAGATCTGGGTCGATACCACTGAGATCGGGGATACGTATCTTGATAATCCCAGAGTTGTAGATATTGGCCATCTTCAACAGAACAAATATTTGTTTAAGTTACTTTTTGATTTAAAGCTTTCATGACTGCAGTAATTCATATTCTTAGCTCTTTCGGTAAAGTCACGTTGAAGGAAAACAATAAAATAATAAAATATATATAAAACAATAAAAATTCTCACGACGTTTCGACCATAACACAAACGGTCGTCATCAGGTGTGTCGGTTTGCATTAATTTATTTATTTTAAAACGGTGTATATATTTTAAAAAACGTCAGCGCCACGCGCAGCGATTTGGCAGTTTGTTTAGAAGGACTAGTCCATCTATGTTCTGAAAAGAGGAGGGGGGAGACTAAAAAATTAATGTATGCTGTCTGAAAGCCACCTGAAATGGTTTATCAAATATTTCCAATGATTGCTAAGCCAGAATCCATCTTCTCGGTTGAAATTGTCTCTGTGCTTGTATATGTGGATAGCCTCATGAACGATTCTCTCATGGTAGCCAGATGGCTTACAAAGAACCTCTGTCTTGGAGAAGTCAATGTCATGTGAGCCTACTGAATTATAACAATGATCTGCCACGGCCGAGGTGTTGGTCCTACCGTGTTTCAGGTCTGCTATGTGTTCACGAATACGGTCCGAGACATGGCGTTTGGTTTCTCCAATGTTACTACCACAGAGGTAACTTAGTTTGTAGACACCAGGGTACTGTATGTCCGGAATCGCATCTTTTACAGATGCTGCGCGTGGCGCTGACGTTTTTTTTATAAATAAATACACCGTTTAAAAATAAATAAATGTATGCAAACCGACACACCTGATGACGACCGTTTGTGTTATGGTCGAAACGTCGTGAGAATTTCTTGTTTTATATATATTTTATTGTTTCCCTTCAACGTGACTTTACCGAAAGAGCTAAGAATATACGTTACTTTTGTTAACAAAGTTTGAATAAGTAAATTCACATATTTTAAGACGCACATATGGTCCTTGGTGAGTTCTCTATATAATGGTTAGAAATCTGAGTATATGCTCTTAACTTAAAACAAACATCAAATTGGGGCTCTCCAGTATTGGAGGGTGAAAATGTACAACTTTATGATTCTGATCATTTACCTCTTGAAGTACGCATCTGAAGGTTTTTAACAGTGCCAAGTCAACATTTTACCTACTTTTTACATTAAAACCCCTCTTGCTTACTTTTGGCCCCTTAAAATGCCATCATCCACACGATTCCTTTTGTACATTTAACATTTCAAGGAGATAGTGGATGCTCGGTGGCCAAGAGGTCAGAGCGCTGAGCTGGTGCCGCTGAGATCGTGGGGTTCAAATGGTTTGAGACACGCACAACTTAACTGTGCTGATGGTTTCCAACCCAGTCACCAATGGCTGCATTAAAAAGGGCACATTAATTTACTGTATTTTTTGTTACATCAGGAAGTTCTTAGTTGTTATAACGGTAACTTGATCCCTTTTTTGTTTGTGTATGCTCCCGTAGCGGTCACTGCATCGCACACGAGCTTATGTAACCGCAGTGACCAGGCACACAACCCTCAACTGTATCGGAGCAAGCCGTCAAACGTGCACTGTGTGCAATTTCAGCATTGTGTAAAGGGCACCCAACCTCCCCTTCGGCGTATAGACGTGCGCACAGCTGATAGTCGATTGAAACAACTAGAACCATAACTCATCACCCTTACTCCTTCTGCTTGTGAAAACTGACGCAGTGCCGGATGATCCTAGTAGCAAAAGTATCTGCAAATGCTACGGGCCCCGCACTTTCAAGGGCCCCACGCTAAATGCTTTCAAGCTATCAAGTCCGGTTCAGTGATTCTGCACTTGCTCTATTACTATAGTACTATACTGCCTTCAATTTTTTATGAACGACTGGGTGTTTAAGGTTAGCGATTTGTCGTATTATCTGGCTGTATGGCAAATGAAAAAAATACAATTACTTTCCTGTGAAAGTTAAAAAATTGTGTTTTAATGTTTGTGTTTTTTTTATTATTAGGGCCCCTTTATAACATGCTACAGGCCCCGCACTAGCTTAATCCGGCACTGTTCATTTCCATTTATTTGGTATAGCCCTGTGAGCCATTCGGCTCTTGAATCGGGTGCAACTGCAACAAACAAAACACAAAAACATGAACAAGAAAAATCTTAAAGTGACTATGTGACTGTGCAAACAGAAAATCCAGGAAAATAAAACATCAAAATATGCCTGAAATCGCTGTATGCAAAAATCCCAGTGGGATGCAAGTCAAACAACAACCACGAGACAACTAAGATTAAGGCCATCAGTCTAACTCCGTACTACAATAAACAAAAACATGGCCAAAGCAAAAAACTCTTGAACTAATGCAGTAGCACTTGTGCAAAATGTGACAAGTGCTTACAATTTGACACCTCCCGACGCGCACACTTGTGATCACACTTGCGTGTGAGTGCTACAAAGATAGAGAATCCCGCCCTATATAGCATCAAGAGACTTGGGGCAAATGCTGTTAGCAAGCGGCACACGTGAAGGCCGGCCCTGTAGATGGGTGTGTGCGTGGCCAGCACCACACCCGATACACGCACACACAGACGCGCGCGTGCGTGCGTAAGAATTCTGGTACCTGTGAGCTCCTACCAAGACGAAAAGCATGTATTGAGCTGTGTGTGTGCTTTGTATGTAGGTGTATGTCAGTGGGGAGCTGTAGTGCAGTGGTTGGCGCACTGCATTTCACACCTGCCGACCCGAGGTCTATTCCCGCTCACGACCAATAACAGTGACGAATATTTGAACCGGTCCTGGGTCTCCCCTAGGTTGACTTAACCCAACAAAGAGTACATGATGCGATCTGTATACATTGCCACTGGGGAGACAAAGGCGGCCGAGCGTAGTGCTGAAGATTCACCACCTCGTGTGCCGTGCCAGCCTTCATAGGTGCTACTTTGCTAACAGCGCTTGCCCCAACAGTCTGTTACAGGCTACACGGGGGATCTTTGTATTCGTACCAGTGTGTGCATGAAGATCTGTGTGTCCTGGTGCCTGGATGCTCACACCGGGACCGGTAAGTAGTAGCAGGTGTGTGAATATAGCCATGTTGTGTGGGTGTTGTATGTACGTATGTTGGACTTCTCTCGCACAGTACGTAACCAACCGAGTTGATCGGAGGTGCGGGGTTAATGACAACAAACTGAACGCAAAAAGCAAGTTCTAAAGAAATTCATTTACACACGCACACTTGTGAATAGAGCCGTGTGTGGGGAGCGGTGGCGTAGCGCTTCGCGCGCTGCGCGACGAACCCGGCATCCCGAGTTCCATTCCCGCTCACGGCGGCCAACACCAGTGACGATTGTCTGAACCGGTACCTGGGCCTCTCCTAGGTAGGCTCAGCCTCAAGTGTGTAACTGAGGCGGTGTGCAAGCATTGCCACCGGGGAGACAAAGGCGGCCGGGTGTGATGTTGGCAACACAGCTCCTCGTGTGCCGTGCCGGCCTTCACAGTTGATCGCTAACAGCGCTTGCCCCAACGGCTTGTCACAGGCTACACGGGGGATCTTTGTCTTTGGTGTTCGAGGGTACAAACTAGGGCTGAACGATCTTGATTTGAAGCTTTCGTGACTGCAGGAATCCATACTCTTTTGTTCTTTCAGTAAAGTCACGTAGGCAGTTTTTTCTTGCTGTGGTTGTCCCACCTGATGACGATTGCTTGTGTTGCGATCGGAACGTCGTGATGTATTATTTTTCTACCTACGTGACTTTACCGAAAGAATCAAAGAGTATGGCTGAACGATTTGGGGGAAATATCGAATTGCGATTTTTTTTGACATATTGCGATTTGTTTTGCGATGAAGTTTTTTTAAAGTCAAGCTTCAGTTCAATATTCATAGATTTAAAACATGTGATGGAGCATTACCACATGATACCATCAAAATATGAACTGCTCTATATATTCTAATGCAAGGATGAGAACTTAAAATATATTAATTGCTTCCAACATGTATTTATTAAAATGTTTTAATTGAAATAGAACAATCAAACATAGAACAATTATTAAGTTAAATAAATAAAGATATAATCATTAAAAATAAAACAATTCCAATCAGAAAGTAATACAACTTTTCAAATCGCAAAAAATCGCAGCCTTTGCGATTTGCTAATCGCATTGTTTCAAATTTCAATTTTTAAAATCCATTAATCGTTCAGCCCTAGTACAAACGTGCGTTGTAAATGTTCGCGAGTGTGTGTGTGCGGTGTGATGGGGAGAAGGAGTGGTGGTGGTGTTGGTGGTGGGGAGATGCCCTCTCTACCTACCGAGACACGCAGCAGCCCGTGACGAGCTTCCACACGCGGGGCCCCGATGCCCAGGAGGCCAAGAGCAGCAGCAGGGCCGGCACTCCGATGGAGACGGCGGCGTACGCGGAGTTGCGCCCTGGCAGGCACGGGCAGCGGAAGGAGAGCGCCTGGAATATTTGCTGCGCGGCGGCGGCGAGCAGGGCCACCAGCAGCCGCTGCAGCGTCGCGGAGTGGCCGCTCATGTATCTGACGAGCTCTGAAAACATAGCCGTGACCGATGTCTTCTCCACCCCTGGGCTGCCCCTTGTCTGTCTGTTATCTCTCTCTCTCTCTCGTGCCCTTGTCTCGGGGAACAATTTCTTCCTCGAGGTATTTCACTCTTGTCTCAACCTATCTGTGTCTCTGTCACTTTTCGTTGAGACTTTTCTGTGCACACCTATTTCGACGCCTCTCTCGACGCAGAGAGCGTGTCTCTTTCTTTACTTTCCGAAACTGCGTCTCTCATTTGAATGCCCGTCTCGGTGATGGTATTCTGTTGAGTCTCTCTCTCTCTCCTCTCTCAGCGCTCAACGATGTCCTTCTGGGTTCCTTCTTCCCCCCGCTCTGATGCCGTCTTGCTCCTCTTGCACATTGTACCAACCGTGCCCTTCCTGCAAGTGGTTTTTGCGGACAACTTTATGTGGTGGCGGCCTGTCGTCTGGAAAGGCTGATAAAAAAAATAGCCCACAACCCTGACTTAGGCAAATGTTTGTTTTAAAAAAAAATGTTCACAGGTGGTGCTCGTCAGCATGCGCAGGCATGTAAAATGCGCCGTGTGTGTGTTATTACCCGTGTGTAGATTCGCGTGCTGTATTTATGATCTTAGCACGGTGATTTTGGCACGTACTGCATTTATGATCTTAGCACGTACTGCATTTATGATCATATGCATGACTGAACAATAATACATCACACTACATTTGGAACTGCACTTAAACCTTGCCTACATTCAGACTCTTTAATGTTTGTATTGTTTTTGGATGATTCGCCCATCTAATTCTCTGGGTTTCCACGCTTCCCCAGGAATACTCTATACTTTCTGTGATTTGGATCTGGTAGACCAAGAATAATCTTTCACAGTTGGAGCGTGGCACTGCTATGCATGACCGACTCTGATTTCGAATGTCCCATAATATTTTAACCTCCACTGCAGAAGGAGCGTATACAGTATTAAATTTACTGGAAGTATTAACCAGGGCGGCCACTGTGATCGAACCAAAACCCTCTGCAAACGCGCTACCGATCGGCCGTGGCACGCAACATCACGATGCCATGATACCCTCTGGGGGCATGATGCCAAATATTCTCTACAGTGGTGGGGCAGTGTTGCCCCTTACTGTGTAGTTCAAAGGTCACATGGGAGGATTTGAGGGGTAGCTCTGTGGTATCTGCTTTCCAGGATTGTTCTCTACACATTCCACCGCACCTCTGTCCATTCATTGCCATAAGTTGCAATTAACACACACATTACTCTGTGTGTTAATTTGGGCCCAAAATCGGCAGAGGCCCATTTTTTTGACGATTTTTGACCCCCCCAAAAAATTGGTAATGTACGTACATAATGTACATTATGTTAATTAACTGTGAATAACTCAACTAACAGACATCCATTGTAATGTATACGACTACATCAAACCCCCCTCTAAGTCTTCGCCCTCTATTTAAGGCCGCAACACGAGGAGGATTTATCCACAATTCTGGCTGTCGCCTGATGATGCTGTTTGTAATTATCGGCGAAACGTCGTACTCCAATTGAAAATGTTGTGGGTTCACTCTCCAACCCACCAGTGTGTTGAAGTAGCGAATTGGCCACGTTTTGTTTACGTGACAAACCTTACTAATTGGCTGTGTCGGGTGGTGGCGGATTTAACGACACATTGATATTTACGGCGTGTTCATCATCAGATACCCAGATGATAATGTATTTACAAGGCAAGTAATACACAGAGTTACTGAATTCACAGTTTCGACGAATTGAGTGTAAAATGCCCAGCTATACCACCACAAATTATATCTACAGTATATTTAAAATACCTCCTGTAAACATTTTCATATTGGTCAGAAATTGTCTCAACAAATAATGAATCGGAATGGGTACTTGTTTCACATTAAAGCAGAGATGGGAACGTTTGTGCTTCGGGCTGGAAATGTCAAAGAAGATGTTTATCCAGGGGCAGAGCCACAGGGGGGTGGTATAACCCCCAAAAAAACACCTCTTATGGAACAAAAAGCCATCATCGGTTCCTGAATAAGTGGGTCTTGGTGGACATCCTGTCTTTGGTAAAACATCAAAATAAAGTCGACCAAACGCGACTGACTGCAAGCAGCAGCAGTGGTCCCGTGAGGCAAGAGGTAACAGTAAATGCGATGATGGTTCTTTCGGTAAAGTCACGTAGAATGAGACTAATACAATAAAATAACAATAAAATTCTCACGACGTTTCGGCCACAACGCAGGCAGCCGCTTGCGTTGTGGCCGAATTATTATCATTCTACGTGACTTTACCGAAAGAACCAAAGAAGATGATGGTGTTTGCACATGCATCAAATATTGTGCTCTTCTACACATTTTTGTGTGGTTCGAAACATTGTTTAGTGATGTTTAAACTTTGAAGCTTCAGTGGGCCTTACTTAGTAAGATATAAAAAAAAGAAATCGTTTCCTTTTATTTGTATATATTTTTGCTGATGAAACTGATGAGTTGAAGCTGGAGATGCTGGTTGGCAATTCAAATCCATGGGTTTGGCTCAACCCATTAGAGCTCAGCGGTCGATAAAATTAGTACCACTTTGTGAGGAAATCGACATTGGTTGTCCCTTGCATAAGACTCATCCCCCCCCGCCATACGAATGTGGAATTTCCACCACTGACTCATGGTTGCCAACATATGAAAACCGCTTCAGTGTTAATTTAAGCAAAATGTGTTTTAACACATTATATCACATGGCCGCGTGGGATTTCAGAATTATAGCAGCATCAGATTCAACTCGAGCAAAACTCTGGTTCGGTTTCGGCCATTCATCGTCTCATCAGCAGTCTGACTTTGTTCGAACCAATGCCGGTGAGCTGCCAGATGTTTACAGGCAAGAACACTACATCACTTTTAATTTGTTGTTTGATTCTAACGGCATGAGCACCACACATTGACAGCGCCTCGATGCCCGTTGAATGATTGGGGCTGGATTTGGCGGGAAAACTGCGCACGGGCGGTGGGGGCGAGGGAGAGCGAAGAGAAAGGGGGCGGGGCGAGGACGAGGGAGGGGCGAGCGAAGAGAAAGGGGGCGGGGCGAGGGAGAGCGAAGAGAAAGGGGGCGGGGCGAGGACGAGGGAGGGGGCGGGGCGAGGGAGAGCGAAGAGAAAGGGGGCGGGGCGAGGACGAGGGAGGGGGCGAGGAAGAGAAGGGAGAGAGAGGGTGGGAGGGAGGGGGAGTGGGAGGGGGGAGGGAGTTGGGGGGGAGGGAGAGGGGGAAGGGAGTGGGGAAAAAGGGGGCGGGGCGAGGAAGAGGACGAGGGAGGGGGCGAGGAAGAGAAGGGAGGACGAGGGGGGAGGGAGTGGAGGGGGGAGGGAGGGGGTAGGAGGGGAGAGGGAGTTGGGGGGGAGGGGAAAGGGAGGGGTGGGGAAGAAGGGAGGGGGTGGGTCTGGGAGGGAGTGGAGGGGGGAGGGAGAGGCGGAGGGAGTGGGGGGGAGAGGGAGTTGGGGGGGGAGGGAGGGGTGGGGAAGAAGAAAGGGGTGGGAGGGAGTTGGGGAGGGGGAGGGAGTGGGGGGGAGAAGGGAGGGGTGGGTGTGGGAGGGAGAGGAGGAGGGGGGGAGAGGAGGGAGGGAGTGGGGGGGGCGGAGGGGGTGGGAGGGGCACGGGACGGTTGGCGGACGTGACGTCACGACTGGATATAAATTCAAATAAAATTCGTCTCTCCCGCCACGGGGCTGTGCTGATTTTCTTGAGCGATTTTTGTTTTTAAAAATATATATTAATAAAGGTGACGCTGTGTTTGTGTGATTTGTTTTTTTTTAAAGTAAAGTTGTGCTAAAGCATGTGAAAGCGATGAGATCATTCATCGGCTCGTGCTTTTAGGGCGTCAATGTTTCGTTATGTCGCAGATCGCGTTCTGCGGATGGTTTCATCCAGCGGTGGATTGAGAATGACTCGTGATGACAATTGCGCAACGAGTAACCCGCCGCGTATTGATTTAGTATTGAGTTTGGGGTTAAAATATATGCGTAGTAACTCGCACTGTATAATGCTTCGATTTTCGATTCGGCTGCTGTGTTAACGATTATATTTTTGACATTGAAACGATACTATAATTTTTTAGTTTTTTTCAGATATATAATCGATTCGTTTTTGTCTCCGTGGAGTGAAATTAATAATCTCGTGGCTCTAATTTTTTCAATTTCAGTTAACACTTTAAATAAGACTAGTTACGAATCTTTTCTGTTGTAAAACGCGTGCGATTCTCACGCGCAATCTTAACGATCTCCGGAATCGATTAATCGACGACACGTGTGCCTTAATGCCTTGTTGTTTTAGATTTTACTTTTTTTTAACAGACGTTCACATATTTACGGCGCCGTTTGACTTGACAAGAAGGGGATCTCGTCGTTTACAACTCAACCTCGGCCTTCCGAGCGATGCAGAAAACCACGAAGCAACTGGCAGAGTGAGGACACGGGACAGCTGGCGTGCACTCGTACAAAAACTATTTGTATCGTTTTTATTTAAAGCTTTCGTGACTGCAGTATTTCATATTCTTAGTTCTGTCGGTAAAGTCACGTCGAAGGGAAACAACAAAATAATAAAATATATATAAAACAATAAAAATTCTCACGACGTTTCGACCATAACACAAACGGTCGCCTTCAGGTGTGTTGGTTTGCATAAATTTATTTATTTTTAAACGGTTTATTTATTTATAAAAAACGTTTGCAGCACGGGCAGCGATTTGGCAGTTTATTTAGAAGGACGAGTCCATCTATGTTCTGAAAAGAGGAGGGGGGAGACGAAAAATTAATGTATGCTGTCTGAAAGCCACTGTAAGCGTGAACAATCAATTAAGACCTGAAATGGTTTATCAAATATTTCCAATGATTGCTAAGCCAGAATCCATCTTCTCGGTTGAAATTGTCTCGGTGCTTGTATATGTGGATAGCCTCATGAACGAATCTCTCATGGTAGCCAGATGGCTTACAAAGAACCTCTGTCTTGGAAAGTTGCCTCTGTGGTAGTAGTTACGTTGGAGAAACCAAACGCCATGTCTCGGACCGCATTCGTGAACACAAAGCAGACTAAAAACACGGTAGGACCAACACCTCTGCCGTGGCAGATCACTGTTATAATTCAGTAGGCTCACATGACATTGACTTTTCCAAGACAGAGGTTCTTTGTAAGCCATCTGGCTACCATGAGAGATTCGTTCATGAGGCTATCCACATATACAAGCACAGAGACAATTTCAACCGAGAAGATGGATTCTATCTTAGCAATCATTGGAAAGATTTGATAAACCATTTCAGGTCTTAATTGATTGTTCACGCTTACAGTGCCTTTCAGACAGCATACATTAAAACAAAATTTCGTCTCCCCCCTCCTCTTTTCAGAATATAGATGGACTAGTCCTAAATAAACTGCCAAATCGCTGCGCGTGGCGCTGACGTTTTTTATAAATAAATGCACCGTTTAAAAATAAATTTATGCAAACCAACACACCTGATGACGACCGTTTGTGTTATGGTCGAAACGTCGTGAGAATTTTTATTGTTTTATATATATTTTATTGTTCTGTTGTTTCCCTTCGACATGACTTTACCAAAAGAACTAAGAATATAACTATTTGTATTGTTTTGGGATTATTCACCCATCTAATTCCGTGTGTTTCACGCGTTTATATTAACAAGTCATCGAGTAATGTTGGTCTATCGTGCCATTCTTATAGCGTAAGGCTAAATATCGCGCCACCGGTGTCTCTCTGTCTTTTAGCATTAGGAGGGCAAATTTTGCAGAGTGGCTTTAGCCACACGGATAATCTGAGATTAATATTTAACAGGTGGATCGAGGGGCACTGCAACGCGTCACCGACTCTAATCTGCGATATTTTAAACCTCCCCCTGCAAAAGGAGCGAATGCACTATTTAATTCACTGGAAGCATTAACCAGGGCGGCCACTGAAATCGAACCAAAAGCCTCCGCAAACGCGCTACGTCACAATGCCATGACTTTACCCACTGAGGGCAGTGATGCCACGGGGCAGACTTGTCGACGTTACGGCTTGCATTTCTCTTTCAGGGAACTTGGGTTTATCAGAAAACGAGCGTCATCTCCGTCGGTTGCTGGAACAACTGAAAAACGAGTACGATCACGTACGTGAAAATGTATTTACTTAACAAATGTTTGAGGCTACAGTCTGTGTTAATCCATCGTTCTGCTCGGGTACATAGATATATGCACAATTCTAGATTTAAAGCTTTCGTGACTGCTAGGATCCATACTCTTTGGTTCTGTTGGGTAAAGTCACGTAGGTGAAAAAATAAAATAACAAAAATCACACGACGTTTCGGCCACAACACAAGCGGCCTTCATCAGGTGAAGGGACGAGACCGTCTGGAGGACAGCGCTGGAGCGAAAAAAGCCACGCTCAGATCACGACCTTTAAGCTTTAAATCTAGAATTGATAACCTCTATGGGGAGGGCTTTCACCTATCTGTTAGAGCTTTTAACAGACAACGGGACAAGAAGTCACAGCTCATCGAGACGCTGACCTTCCTCAAAAGATGCCGCGATCACAAGCTTAAAGGTCGTGATCTGAGCATATATGCACACTTTTCTCAGACTTTCGTACGTTTGGTGATGGAAATTTGATTTTCATCGATGGGGTCTGGTCATTGAGATTTCCGCGATGTGATTTTACTGGGAGAAGTCCCGTGACCCGTATCGTGCGTATAAACCTAATTTTTCAATTAGTCTGAATTTGAGTATTGCTTTAATGCAGATAGAGGGAACGTTTTTCTTCCCGAGGGCCAAATAGAATTTTCAAATTCCTTTGGCGGGGGCCCAGAACATTCATTCTCACACAAATTTTATCACACAAGGATTTATGAGTTGACTGTGTGCTCAGAACTACTTCAGACACATCAGCTGGCTGAGCTTTCTACAATTAGAAACGCGTTTTTACCAAGTTAACATTCACCTCTAGTGCCTGGGTAGTCTGGCTAGGATGCTTGCAGTGATGGATAACCACAGGGGCGGAGCCAGGATTTTGACTTTGGGGGGGGGCTAACTTCAATATTCTGAGATATCCAGTGTTTATGTTTTCCAATGGGCGCCATAAATGTATAAAACATTTTATTGGATTTGAACGCGGAGTTTATTAATAGGTCGGAGCCGCTGATGTGGCTAATAAGTTTGATAAGTTCGAAAGGCTGCAGCTCAAGCAGCCTGCAGGGCAGCACACAAGGTGGCAGCCTGCAGGGCAGCACAAGGTGGCAGCCTGCAGGGCAGCACGAGGTGGCAGCCTGCAGGGCAGCACGAGGTGGCAGCCTGCAGGGCAGCACAAGGTGGCAGCCTGCAGGGCAGCACAAGGTGGCAGCCTGCAGCATTCTGCAGCAGCCGGATATTCGGTTATCCCGATTACAGACTTTCCCAAAATTTCAGGGGGGGCTAAGCCCCCCCAGCCCCCCCTGTGGCTCCGCCCCTGGATAAACATCTTCTGTGACATTTCCAGCCCGAAAGACAAAAGTTCCCATCTCTGCTTTAATGTGAAACATGTACCCAATCCGATTTATTATTTGTTGACACAATTTCTGATCAATATTAAAATGTTTACAGTAGGTATTTTAAATATTTACAGTAGGTATTTTAAATATACTGTAGATATACTTTGTGGTGGTATAGCTGGACATTTTACACTCAATTCGTCGAAACGGTGAATGCAGTAACTCTGTGTATTACTTGCCTTGTAAATACATTATCATCTGGTATCTGATGATGAACACATTACTTCATTGAGCTCAAGAAACACTTTGGAATTGATTCAATAAATGTCCCACAAATAATTACCAGAAGTCAAACTAAAGCGGATGCACGATGGACTTGCAATCAAGAGGTCATGGTTCGATCTTCCAGTTAAAACTCTGGTGGAAGTTTCTTAAATCGCCTTGGCTGTGTCCTCCCAGCATTATAGTTGGGTAACACTCCAGTCAAATTACCCTCGAGAGAGGCTCTTTGGATCGTCCTTACTGGAGACATTTCTACTATCAGTGATGTGAGCGAGTTAATTACAGGGCTCGCATTAATGTAGTTTTTTTTTTCTTGTAAAGCATTTTGTCACTCATGTCCTCAGACGCGATCCTTTTCCTGCAGCTCTATTGTTGCCTTGTTGTTACTTCACAGATCAACTATTCGCCTACCTCATCGTCATTGATTTTGAATCGACCTGCTGGAATGATGGACGGCTACGCAATGGGCAAGAAATAAGTACGTTGAGTATTACATTGGCTTCATTTCACTCATATTGACTGTACAGTATTTAATCTCAACAATTATATTGAACCCCCCTATATTGTAGCTTACGGTCATCTGTGTCTTCTACAGAATATTGTTTCGATTTAAAGCTTTCGTGACTGCAATGATTCATCTTCTTTGGTTCTTTCGGTAAAGTCACGTAGAATGAGAATAAAATAATAAATTGATAAAATAAAATAACACAATAATATTCTCACTGTGTGGAATCCCTCCCCGTAGAGGCGGTGAGAATATTATTGTTATTTTATTTTATCAATTTATTATTTTATTCTCATTCTACGTGACTTTACCGAAAGAACCAAAGAAGCAGAATAATATTATTTAGAAGGGCCTCACTGAGTCACGGGGGCGAGATGTTAACTACCTCGCCTGGTATACAGGTAGGCGGTTTGATTCCGACTCTGGCGCCTGTATATTTGGAGTTTGCATGTTCTCCCCATCGACGCGTGGATTTTTATCCGGGTCCTCCAGGTGTTTTCCTCCACATTAAAAACGTGCATTGAGAGTTTTTGGCTGCAATGAATTTCCACGCAATAAGCCACTTCGTTGAGCAATCATTTGTGGCCAGGTCGCTTCTGAAAAAGAGCTACACAACTTCAGTGGGCCTTACCTGGTAAAATAAAAAAAATAGTTTAATAGAGTCCCAAGTCTCTTTTTTTTCAGAAAGCCCTGCTTTGGGATGTCTGACCAATTAGTTTTTTCATGAGTGTTTACATTGAAAGTTCAGAATCAGAAGTTTATTTCCCGATTAAAGCCCATTTGAGCTAAGATGCTCTTTTTCAAGGGCGACTCGACTGGCAGGCAATATGTGAAAGTAAATCAGAGTACCCAGAGATAACTTATGCATTCAAGCAGTTATTGCTCCAAAGGTCTGTACAGATGAGTGATGAGTCTTCTTACTGTGCTACCATCCCGTGGCTACTCTGCAGCCCACTGCATTTGACCGTCTCCACATTCGATATTCTCTGCATGATTCACCAAACCTGGCCCCAATGCATGATGCCATACAATGCTGTGGACTGCCTGTTGCATTCAAGCTTCGTTGGGCGAAAGATCGGTCAATTCAATATATGTCTCTATAGTCTGGGTAAATTGATTAAAATCACCTGAAGTGTCCCCAATTTCATCACATATCGGGAAGCTAAGCAAGGGGGGGGGGGGGGGGTGGGCTTAGGTAGCGCTTGGATGGGTGACCGCCATGCACACCAGGTTGTCGTAGATGGCTGCAGAGTTTGCCAAGCATTGACCAGCAGAGGCCAGTGCAGAAAAATCCATTCTATGCACCCACGGCTATGCTCTACATCTTTACCAACGAGTAGTATCCCACCCCCCCCCACTCACCCATGGGTGACAGCTGAAAGTGCAGTCCTGTTCTGGTTCATGTTTCTGTTTCTTGTTCATGTTTATGTTTTTTGTTTGTTGCGGTTGCACCCGATTCAAAAGCCGAATGGCTCACAGGGCTATACCAAATAAATGAAACTGAAAAAAAAAACTGAAACTGGGGGAAAAAAGCAGAGCCAGGGAAATCTCTCCCATCACCTCGCACACTGCTTGTTTGTATACAATCTGGTTAAATTAATGAATGCACTGATGTAAAATACAAGGCAAAACAGCACATGGATTAAGTAACTAAAGTACAGATATAATCAGTGTTGTGAAACCCAAGTAGGCTTGTGCAGAGCGTGCCATGAAAAGATAAGATGCGATTGGCAGAAGACGGGGGCAGCTAAGAAAGATATTCCACACGATGGGGTGCCTACAGGGGATGTGAGACAATGAGATTGTGGCACGTGTGGGAATGAAGATAAGAACTACAGTTGCATAGGTCCCAAAGCAATGGGATCATTACAGAGATTCACAGTGAGGGTTTTGATGCATTGGGCAGCAGAGGACAGTAAAGCAAAATCAATTTGACGATACTACAATGTACCCACGTCTAACGTTTATTCCACTTGTACTTTGGCGTTGGGTCTTAAGATGAAGAAACTTCTATTCTAAACTCTTAACAGCAGATGTAACATCACACGATGTAGGAGAGTAGTCCCTGGAAGATGGCATTACAGAGTGTCCAGTCACAGCATTGAGCCTCAACCAAAGAACACCCTTAAGTTCCCTGTACACAAATAAAATGCCAAACAAATGAAAGCCTTTAGTCCTTGGAGCTGGAATATGCAAATGTAATCGAAAAATGCAAATGTCAGTGTGGTTTTCTTGCACAATCATTAGTAATCAAGCTTATACCATCACTACACTGGAGAACCTGGTTTAATTACAGTTGGCAGAAACTCACATTCAATTCCAGGATTTTGTTTTTGTACTCTTGACATGGGGATTATGACTCACCTGAGCGAACCAGCCACTTAGTCTCTTTATCTTCACCTCATTTGAATTAGGACATGATGCAGAGTGTCTGCTGGCCGCAGAGCACCATCAGTGGATCTCTTGTTCCCAGAATACAAAGCAGCCCTTCATTTCATGCCAATGGCAAGGGAGATTTGTCATGCAACCTTCGTCCCAGACTGCGTGTACCTGGAGTTTGAGATCTCAATGTTCTCAAAAATGCTGGCTGTGCTCTAGCTTGAACATAATCGACTCCTTTGGATATCTGCTCATCTCTTGAATGTGCAAATGTAATCAAAAGGATTACATGTCAATGCTTTCTGTCTAATCCCTTGATCAACCACTTACTAAGTGTGGGAGATTGCTCCTTTTCTGCTGTCCCGGAAATATCAAATTCTTCCCCCAGCTATCAGTGCTCTCAATTTCCTGCCCCCCGTTCCAGTCCATGCTCGAGACCTTCCTCTTGCCATTTGTCCGAGTGATAGGCTTTTCACGAGAACATATATGGTATGTATTATTGTCTACATGATGTGAATATCAATCTTTCTGTACAGCATCTGAAGATGCATTTGTCTATCAATCGTTTATAAATCCAAATTGTATTTTAATGTTTTGTGTTGTCAGTTGAGTTTCCTGCCGTCCTGTTGAATGCGGCCAATGGACAAATAGAAAATGAGTTTCGCACGTACCTCCAACCACAGGAGCATCCTTTACTCTCCGCCTTTTGTACAGAGCTTACAGGTATTCAGCAGGTAAGAAGTAATACTAGTATAGATGTCAAACATTTCTCCTCATTCTTGGTAGAATGTAATTGGTGATGCAGCCCTGTATCTCTCGTACATCTCTTATCATCACTCGGTTGCCTCTTTTTACAAGTACGGTGCTTCATTGGGCACTGTCTCACATTATGGTGCCGCGGCAGCGAGATGTTAATTCCCTCGCCCTGGTATGCAGGAGGTCATTGGTTCGACCCTTAACGCCTGCTGTATATTTGGAGTTTGCATGTTATCCCCGTGGTCGCGTGGATTTTTCTCCAGGTCCTTCGGTTTTTTCCTCCACATTTAAAAACGTGCGTTTAGAGTATTTTGCCTGCAATGAATTTCAACACGATGAGGCCACTTCGTTGAGCTATAATTTTTGGCCAGGTCGCTTCTGAAAAAGAGCTACACAGCTCAGTGGGCCTTACCTGATGACACTAAAAAAAATTGTTTAGTTTATTCCCAGCATCACTCGATGCATTCATGTTACTTTACCCATGTTCATCTTACCCTGCTCTTCCTTAATGACCTGCCGTACAAAACGCTTGTCAAAATAATTTTCTCCCCCTGTGCCGCTAAACTATGAGATTCATCACGATCATCTTTCCAATTGATTACAATTTACAATGTTTTGGAATCTAATGCAAATCAATCTATAGGCAAATAAAAAACAAATCATACAAGGCTAAATGTTGGTAATTGTTTTGTAACAAAAATGTGTAACGTCCGTGTACGTATCACGATTTTCCACATTTCCCATAGTCTTGTTAATGGTTGCCTGACATTTCAAAGCTCATTGCATTTTGCTGGATATTCTGACCACTGATACCTGATACATGTGACTTTTGATGTAGAGTTGAAAAATATGGGCCACCACATGGCTTAAAACTCTGTTACAGGAGACCTAGTATCAAGCAGTGGTATACGCACAGCAGGGGACATTTGTGTCACCACCCCACCCAAAGGATTAAGTGTGCTCTGAGAACAGCAAATGACCAATACAGTTTAGCTTGGAATTTATATGTCTCATGACAGGGGTGTGTGGAGAGACATCTGATTACACAGTAATTAGTACACCCATATATGCAGGGATAGAGACAGTCAAATTATAAGTGCAGAGAGAGAGACAATAATTCAGAGGTGCGGGAAATCGCAGACAAGTGAGAAGGCGGTCGGACCATGCGCCAAGCTCTCTGGTCCTGTCTTGAAATGTTTGGCCAACTCCACGAATGAGTGTTTATACACGTGGGAGGAAAACAGAGCGCTTGGAGAAAACCCTTCTCGTGTGCGGTGACACTTAAATCAACCATTCTTCATCTCTGCGGAGTATCCGGCGACAACCCACACGTGTGAGGAGGGTTAACTCACAATCCCTGTACAGATGGAAATTAATCCACCTGCAGTAGCGATATTCCCTGAACAGCCAAGTGATGGCAACCTCGGCGCCCATGGGTACGGAGTCGCACGCTTTGAGTCGCCCACTAACCCTCACTTTCAAAGTACTGTACTGGATTACAGTCATGCGCCACCAGCTAAATGTGATGCAGCGGGAAGAAGTCACCATGTGAAATGATGAAAGCAAGTGGTTAATGGAAACGGTGCACAGTGTGCAAGCTTTAAACCAAGCCAGTGTGACAGGGAGCATTGTTTTAAGCCGTTAATCCTAAAATACGTTACCTCCGTGTTCCAAAATCAAAGGCGTTGCGATGTTGTATAGTAGCATTGGGTGCAATCTTAAAACACTGAAGTATTGTGGCAATTTGTACCATGTAAATACGATGGTGTTCTGAAATTAATCTCGCTTGTCACCAGCACCAAGTGGAGGCTGGTGTGCCCTTGCACATTTGCCTCTTGCAGTTTGGTCACTGGCTGAGCAAACTGCAAGAAGAGAAGAATATTGTGTTTGCAAGAGACGTTGAGAGAAATGCATGCGAAGGCAAGAAGCCGTGTGCGTTTGTAACATGGTCAGGTAATGTACTCTGGTGGTTCAGATGTGTACTGCTGTTGGTTAAATTACCGGGTTTCTGACATGGGGTTTTTTTTTTGTTATCACGCATGAACACCCCATTTTTGCCCTGTCAGTCGTGAAATTATGTTATGATACAGTGCAGTGTTCTTTATTGCAAGGCCCGCAGGCCACTGGTGGCCCCTGGTGGCCTTTAGTGCGGCCCCGGACGTGCGTCCCCCGGCTACGCAAATGTAAAGATACCCCCTCCCCCCCCATCGTCATCATCGTGCTGTCAAACCCCAATGGTTTAAAATGTGTGGTGGCCCTCACACTGATGTGTTATCATCACCTCTGAAAATTCGTTAAGAACACTGGTGGAGTGGTTAACACACTGGATTTGCAATTCAGAGGTCGCCGGTTTTATCTGCCAAGGGGACGCTTAAAACAACGGTGCGAGTTTCTGAAATCTCCCCATCTCTGTCCACCAAGCAGTATAAATGGGTACACCCACAGTCCATTGGCAGGTCGCATTATGAGGTAAATACATTTCCATTCGGAACTCAAATCAAGCAGTGCACACCTCCTTGTGTCACAAGTAGCTCTTTATCATCTTCTTGGGGGTTTTCTGAAACAAGCTGATGCACTACTCGCTCAGAGAGTTCCAAATGACAATGCTATTGTCTCATGATGTAACATCGATTGCAATGTGGGAATATAACTGTTTGCGTGGTCTTGTATTTATAAGTCCTTGGCATAACAATTACATTATTATCGTTAAGTGATTTCATTTGCATTTCAATGTGTAATGAAACATTTAAACTTGAATGAAAGATGGATGCTATTGGTTTTTTTTTGCAGACTGGGATCTAGGAGTGTGTCTAAAGAACGAGTGTCAGAGGAAACGGATACGAAAACCTGATGTTCTCAACAGCTGGATTGACTTGAGAGCAACTTACCAGGTAAGAGAGTAACAGACTGGTGTGTGAGAGTATTGTTAGCATTTCATACTATATTATCATCACCAGCCAGGATCAATCTACTGCTTGATGAAGGCCTCGCCATGTCATTACCATCCCTAAAAAAACGTCACGTAGCCATAATCATGTCGCTCCTGCACCTGAGATAAACCCATCGCGCCATCTGCATGGTGGTGGCCCTCTCTGTCTACTCTCCTTTAGCTGCCATTCCGTTAACAGTCTCATCCCATCGGTCATCGTCATCATGCGAAGTAAAATGTGGCCTTCCCAGGCCTACTATCCTTAAGTCCAAATAATGTCTCTAATTTCTTCTCTAATTCACGTGTTCATAACATGCATTTCACCATGCTTCTTGTGTGGCATTTTCACATTTTGTTCCATTTGCTTTGACAAAGGGCTGCAAATTATTTTACAAACATTAAAAAGGTCTAATTTAACAGGAACATTCCATTTATATCATACCTTCAATTGTAATGAAATAATTCTGTATATTTTTAACTGACCCTTGTACATCTTCAAATCCCATCAAGTGTCCCGATGTTGTGTATGGCATAAATAAAACAGTCCTCAACAGAAACTATTATCACGTCAGGCTTTGTGTGTCTGTCGTGGATAGCTGTGTGAATGCTTTCAAGATAAATACCTATTGTGACAACCGAAACACTTTTAGAGGTACATATATAACTGTCACCTGTAACAAAACGAACTGCAGGGACCATATTGTTAGTAGGAGATGACTAATGCTTCATTCTTTTGTGATCAGCGGTGTAATTATCCGTGGATTAAACATGCGATTTGTAATTTCCTCAGATGTTTTATGAACGCAAGCCAAAGGGTCTGAATGGAGCATTGCAGGACCTTGGTATGTGCTTTACTGGAAGAGAGCATTCAGGTTCGTGGCTCCTCTTGTACCCTGGTTTGAATGCGTCACACGTTCCAATATTCAAGTCAGGTGTGTGAGTGTACGCCGAGACAGTGCACGGCAGTATCCGCTCCCCAGCGCTCGCAGCCCCCTTAGGTCCCCCCTGGCCCCGCTTCCCCAAGCGTGCTTCCTTCCTTGACATCCCGCCTGGCCTTGACGTTCGAAGTGGACCGCGACCCTCGAAGAAATGTCGTCGCCCCCCCGCCCCGTGATCCGTGGATCAAATCCCTCGAGACGCCGGTGTGGCGGCAAGAGCGGTTTTTGCGATAGCTCCCGCGAGAGGTTTTTTCACACATTTTGGCGCGACGGTCCTTGGCTGACTATGCGTAACGAATGAAAAGCCCCGAGGCGAGAGCTCCCTTCCTATGGTCAGTGGCACGACGTGGTTGGGATTGTGATAGGTATTTAATGGGCCCCACTCCCCATATCCGGCGCCTAGGCCCCCTCCAGCCCTCAGTCTCGGGTGCAGTTGCACCACTTCCTGTACACTCGATAGCTCCGATAGGTTATGGTGTTAAGCTTGTTACAGTTTGAGTGGCCGATGTACAACATATATCGCAGGACAGATTAAAAGAGGAAGTTATACGTTCCTTCTCTTTTTTCCACTCATTCCTGTCCTACGCTAACTCCACGTCCAAAGTTGTGAACCAATTCAAAACACCTTTTTCTGGGCCTGCCCCTCCTTCTCAGCCCTGGTGCTTCCATGTTCATCACCTCTCTCCAATTGTTATTTTCCCCTTTTTTGTTACGATATGTCCCTGACATCTGAGACTATATTATTTCAGCTCGTCTTAAGATGGATACCACCCTTGCCTTCTTCCTCGTCTCTTTGTTTCACACCCGTAATGAACGTTTCACTTTCCGATGATCGTTGTATCTTGTGACACGTTGTTGTTGTTGACAGGTCTTGATGATGCCAGAAATACAGCACAGCTGGCGTGGAGGATGATTTGTGACGGATGCACTATGAAGATCACCAAGTCTATCGATAGAGCAGTGAGTGCACCCTTTCTGGCTGGCTGGGATGTGCCTCACTATAGACGATGATGATGATGATAAAACGTCATTTTCAGCATTATAAATGTATTCACAAGTGCATGCATCCTCTCCTACCCCGCTCAGAAATAATGCATGAAAGAATACATTAATATATAGGGCCTCTATACAGTTGTTCATCTAACAACCATGAATGTATTATCACATACCACATGTATTGCATGGAAAAATACGACAAAATACCCTCTAGAGGGTCTCTAGAGTTCCCATCAACGCTGGCTTGAGTAAATGCATTGGCTTCCCCTTTACGCATTACGTTGTTAGCGTTTCTATATAAAGTAACATTAAGTTCGTATAAATGTACCATTGCTCATGCACACACATGTAAAAAATAGCTCAGGTCACTGTTCGCTCGTGGTTGCTAGGTAACACATCCTGATTAGATCATTGGGTGCTAGGTGGCACATAATGAACCACCAGTAAATCTATAATTATTATAATAATGTAAAGCCCCTTTGTCCAGTGCTCTTGTGTTAAATCTAGATTTGAAGCTTTCGTGACTGCAGGAATCCACCCTCTTTGGTTCTTTCGGTAAAGTCATGTAGGTATAAAATAAAATAAATCACGACGTTTCGATTGCAACACAAGTAATCATCAGGTGGGAAAACCGCAGCAATATTTTTCTTGCTGTGATCATCAGGTGAGAAAACCACAGCAAGAAAAATATTGCTGCCGTTTTCCCACCTGATGATGATTGCTTGTGTTGCAATCGAAACGTCGTGATTTATTTTATTTTATACCTACGTGGCTCTTGTGTTAGTCGGAGTTCTTGTGTGACCATACTTAACCAAGCTGGTCAGTGCGGGTTGTTGAAGGAAGGGTTACCCAAGACCGGTTTAGATATTGCTCACCACTTGATGTTAGCCATTGCCAGTAATTCAATTCAGATCTCCAGGTTGAGATCGCAGTGTGCTAACCACAGTACCTCCATCCTCCGGGAAAATCTGCGAAGAGTTTTTATAAAAATGTAATTTATTAAAAAATTGTTCATTCGGCTGCACCTTACTTGCCGTCGGCGTACAAATAGTTTGCTTGCTACTAATGTTGAACGGTCCCTTAGATTATTTTCATGATTGTTTCCCAGCGTGATATTTTATTTTGTAAAAAATGTTAAGTTATCTGCACAATAAAAAAAAACTGTTTTTACAATCCCATAATTTGATTCATTTTCTGTCATTTAAAACCAGGGGTATTGAGCAAGTGTCCCACCGATCACTAAGCCAGCAGAGGAGAGAGGATCCAGTAAAGGGCTTGATGAAATAGCAGGCCACAGCAGAAAAGCAATGATATACTCTGAGCATTCGGAGATTAACACAAAACGTGCCTCAATCGCAGCCTTAAACAGCAAAGAAAATGGGCCCCAGGTGTGTACACCTACTGCGTCTAAAAGCACCAATGGTGATCACGTTCTTGGTCAAGGCAGCTCTTCAACAACCCACAATTCCGTGTTCCAGAGCATTGTTTCTCCTTGTACCTTAATAGCAGGAAATGTGTCCGTAGGATATCTGAATGAAACTGACAGGAGTAGTGTGTATTTAGCACCAGATACGTCTGTTGTGCAAAGGCTACTTCTGCACAATAGTCCCAATGTTGCCAATACTGGTCGGTCACCGACCACTGCTGAACACGTCATGGTGCCCATCGTGATGAGTAGTGGAGGCGGTGTCAATATGAACTTGACTGATAAACATCTTGGAGGGCAGCAGATGATGACACCGCCTCTGGTGCGCAGTGGTGGCTACGCATCACCCGTCCAGGGTTACTCAAAACAACAAAAGGATGACGCCTCAAATCGACAAATCTTCACAACTCCGATGTGCGGCAGTCAGACGTTACGTGTGTGCGACATGTCTACACCAAAATGTGACCTTTATACACCTCAGAATGGGCTGTTTAAAAAGCCAAGTCCACCAACGGGCAGCGTTTTAAAACGGCGAAACACAAATTGCATGCGGACTCCATCAAACCCACAGGCCGGCAATTGTAAACCCGCAGACGGATTTGTCTTATGCGGTGAGAAGAAAGGGCCGCACTCTGTGAAAAGTTCACCAGATGTCGTCTTCCGTGGAAGCGATTCTGGGAATGGTACACTGACGCCTGTGAATCTCACCTCGCGGAGATTGATGACGGTTACGCCAGTGACCGCTTCCAGAAATTCGTACGTGGGCAAGGTGACCCCACCTCTGTGTCAGTGTGGGCGACGCTCAAAACGACTCACTGTTTCCAAACCGGGCCCGAACGAGGGAAGGATGTTCTTCTCCTGCCGTGTTAGCAAAGCTCTTGGCTGTGATGGAGACTGCAACGGCTGCGGATTTTTCAAATGGGAGAGTGCCTATCTGGCCCAGCAGTTAAAATGAAAAATTCTGCCCTTGTGACTATAATCTGTTTTACTGTTTAGCTCGTCCAAGGTACACACAAGAAATCACATGGTCTGATGTCCAAACACCGCATAACTAATGTCTATAATGGGCCTGTCATAAAATGATTTATGCCCATGTGAGTTTCGCACAAGAATGAAAAACGAGTTTAACATGGATACAATTATAGGGTGTGCATGGTCGATTTTTTTTATAGATAATAAAAGTTGTGCAGCGATATTGCTTTCTATATTTTACCAGCCCTACAGTAAAAACAAATGTGTTTTCAGCCTTAATAGAGATAACTAAAAAGAAAACAGCCCTAAATATTGCATGTGATGACATATCTGTGTGTGTATACATACAGCCTTGTCAGCGCTGCAGGATGAAGGCCTTCCCATGGTTTATGAGTTTTGGGGGTTAATTGACCATACTTCACCACGCTGGCCAATGCGGTGTTTTGAACGCTGACTGCACGGGGTGATCTTCGTGTGCGCTGCCTTACCCCTTTTGCTAATGTTCTTGACCCTGTAAATGTATTCGACATTGTAGAAATATACTGTAACTTGTAGCAGATTTAAACGTGCACGCGAGTAATTTCGTGTTTGACCTTGGCACCCTTGCAAAACCAGATGTTCCATTTCAAGCGGTTTACCCAAGTGAAATATATTTCAACGTATAAACTGGGGAGCATAGCGCAGCACAACAATCGGCGGTTGACGCAGTGCATCGGTGGCCGCCCATACGGCCACGATCCAGGCTCAAGGCTGCTGAGCGTCCCAACGTGTGACTTGATCAGAGGGGCTCGCCGCTTGATTTGGTTCACAGCCTCTACCAGGGTATCGGCAACCCGAGGCTCTGGAGCCACGTGCGGCTCTTTGAGGACTGCTTCGTGACCTTTATTTATTAAGCACCACCGTCTCGTGTTCACATTTGCACTGTGGCTCTTGAAATATTGAGGGGGGTTTTTTTGTTGTACCGATTTTTTTTTTAAAAACGTGTCTCTCTGTCATTTTGGTTCCCGACCCCTGGGCCCTATGCTGACTGTCGTGTGTGGAATGGCAATGCCTCTACTTGTCAACGAGCGGCACTGCAGCTCGGAGTTAATTTTAGCATTGCGTTTACGTTACTTAAACGGAAACATTTCCGTTAAAACAAGTGGATTGTGTTTATTTTGCATGTTTTAGTCCATTAAACAAATCGGCACATTGCCTTTGTGCCAACAAATCATTGCCCTCATTTAATTTCAGGTTCAGCAAGTGGTAAATCTGCCCTGACTAATTGACCGCCCACAGCCAGTGCAGTGTTTGTGTGTGCACGGTGTAACCGTAATTTTCTATGGATCTTCACACATCCGATATCATCACAAATCCGTCTATAACCTCAGTCCACATCGAGTAGATTATGCGGCATTATACTGTAACAAAAACAATATAACGAGCTTTGTATTTTATTATCTTTTTACAAACGTGTGCATTTCAAATTATGTAACAATGTGTACTTACACTACTGCGCTTATGTTTATATATACGGCGTGAACAGGTTTATATATGAATGCTTTGTGAAATAACGTTTCGGATAGGAATTTCATTTCCATTGAACTTATTGTATTTCCATGTTTAAGTGTATCACTACAACTTGTAATAAAGACATTTCTATCCCTATAAAATGCGACTGATGTGACCATCCCTTGTAAAATACCATGGTTTTGTTTTTGGAAAACTTACCTACCACAGGCTTGTGGTAGGCCCCGTCCATCGTCCCTTTGATGCGGTGAAGTTGTCCTGTCCCCTTAGCAGAAAAACACCCCAAAGCATAATGTTTCCACCTCCATGTTTGACGGTGGGGATGGGAGTTCTTGGGGTCATAGGCAGCATTCCTCCTCCAAACACGGCGAGTTGAGTTGATGCCAAAGAGCTCCATTTTGGTCTCATCTGACCACAACACTTTCACCCAGTTGTCCTCTGAATCATTCAGATGTTCATTAGCAAACTTCAGACGGGCATGTATATGTGCTTTCTTGAGCAGGGGGACCTTGCGGGCGCTGCAGGATTTCAGCCCTTCACGGCGTAGTGTGTTACCAATTGTTTTCTTGGTGACTATGGTCCCAGCTGCCTTGAGATCATTGACAAGATCCTCCCGTGTAGTTCTGGGCTGATTCCTCACCGTTCTCATGATCATTGCAACTCCACGAGGTGAGATCTTGCATGGAGCCCCAGGCCGAGGGAGATTGACACTTCTTTTGTGTTTCTTCCATTTGCGAATAATCGCACCAACTGTTGTCACCTTCTCACCAAGCTGCTTGGCAATGGTATTGTAGCCTTTTCCAGCCTTGTGTAGGTCTACAATCTTGTCCCTGACATCCTTTGAGAGCTCTTTGGTCTTGGCCATGGTGGAGAGTTTGGAATCTGATTGATTGATTGCTTCTGTGGACAGGTGTCTTTTATACAGGTAACAAGCTGAGATTAGGAGCACTCCCTTTAAGAGTGTGCTCCTAATCTCAGCTCGTTACCTGTATAAAAGACACCTGGGAGTCAGAAATCTTTCTGATTGAGAGGGGGTCAAATACGTATTTCCCTCATTAAAATGCAAATCAATTTATAACATTTTTGACATGCGTTTTTCTGGATTTTGCTGTTGTTATTCTGTCTCTCACTGTTCAAATAAACCTACAATTAAAATTAAAGACTGATCATTCATTGTCAGTGGGCAAACGTACAAAATCAGCAGGGGATCAAATACTTTTTTCCCTCACTGTAAATACAGGGGCCTTAAGCTCACCAGTTCAGTTTATTTCCAGCTGCCTAAGTGGATACATTTCTGCATTTTTCTGAGATGGCATCAAGAGGCTGCAAGCATCCGGAAGA